CAAGTTGACCATTTTGATTCCTTCCCCAACTTCATCCATATACAACCAAATACAGAGTAAACCATATACTATAAAGTATTAAAATAAGATATAAATATGCAGAAATAAATTAAGAAAACAGATAAGTAAGTCATATAAAGACTAAATAAATCCAATTGCGATCACGGTGTAACTTGACCTTAAACAAAGCTCCAGAATGTGCACTGACAAAACAAAAATTCGCCTCCTTTTCGTGATGAAATAAAAAGTTGGTCTATACAATAAAAGAACACAAAAGCGAGGACAAAAAAAAATCCACTACTAAATAAACCAATATAAGGGGACAAAATTGAATATTACAAAAAAAAAAAGGCTCAATTTTGTAAATAATAAGAGATGATAGACGATTCTAAAATTCCTTAAGCCATACACCAAAAATGAGACATTAAGCCTACCAAAATCCCGTACTTCCCCCTCTAAGAACTCTCGAAACCTCTAAACATTCCCCTATACCTCTCGAGCCAAATATTACACAGAATGAAACAGTCTCTCCCTTATCTCAAAATACCTTCATGATCAAATGGCATAAACTATTACGATTCAACATCAAGTTGTCATTGGTAAATGAAAGAACACAATGGCATCCGAAAAACCAGTCCAAAAATGAGGGGGTCAAGAATGTTGAAGTTAGCATTTATCATAATGTCGCTGCACAAAATTACATTTTTTTTAAGTTGTCAAACTAGACCATAATTAACTATCACAAAAAAGGGAATAATAATAATAATCATAATACACCCCGAAACCGTCAAAAAGGTTGAGTTACACAAAAATGATTACCTTGAGAGAATTGATAAAATAAAGTCTATAAGAATTGGGAAAATACTACCAACCTCTGCACCTCGCCTTCCATAGTAACCGCCAAGCAGTGGCTATCTCCACAAGCAATTTGCCTTATCCTAAGACCATGCAGTGCTTTAATTGGCTTTGGTGTGAACAGATCACTAGAATTACCATGACCTAACCTCCCAAAGTCACCCCTAGAAATCAAGTTAAAGAAAATAGTCAATAAGATACATCTCAGCAATATTATTAAGACATAGCGACTTCACCAACTTAGAGGGACCCAAATTCAAAGTACCCCCCACAAAACTAAATTCAAAGCAGGTCAGGAAAAGTTTAAAAGTATTGATTTAGTGTACTTAAAATGTTTATGAAGACCCAGTCAAAGTGATTCTTTACAGGTTTCAAACTACTTCCATTATTACAATTGTAGATGCTTCATGGATATATGTCTCCAAAAGCCACTGATTTTTTCTTCAATGAGTAAAATTGGTCTTGGCAATAAGGCAAATTAAAACCTTGGATATAAAGTCTGGTGTCTTTTGTTCAGATCTCTTCTTCACCAGATTTATTTTACTCTCCATTAAAAAAGTATGTTAAGCCAGTGTTTCATTCATCAGCCATAACTACATTGGAATTTGTCCTTATAAGGAACTTAAGTGAATGGCAGGTTAGGGAACTTAAGTGAAGGTGGATTGGATGGTTTAGTATGTGACTCTATTGTGACTGAATTTTGGCTAATTAAGTCGTGATTATAATCTGTAGTAGGAGTGGACTCAATGGTTGGATTTAGAGTGTCCAATGGATCCACTATTTCCAAAGGACTCTCTTCAACTACAACTTTCTCCCCCTGAATAGAGGCTTCGGAGAAGAAAGGTTTATGCTTGGTAAATGTCACATCAATCGAGATGTACGATTTCCTAGATGGCCTTTTATAATACAAAAAACTAACGAAATCCTGAAAAATATGGAAGTTGACTATCTAATTTCCTTATTTAATGGAATTACACCAATATTCCTGAAATTAAGGTTATTCTTTCCGCATAAACTATTGACTTTATGTAGAGATTGTCTATCATAAATATTCTAGTAAGTAAATAGGACACTATAAAAGTGAGTGCCAAAGTGTAGTCACTTACCATCCCCAACTATAAACTTCTGTACATGCTTCAGAATAAGCTATTGTATGATCAGCTCCACAAGTAACAGATATTATTTCATGGCCATCCAATGCACTCAATTGGGTCGGTGAAAGTCGATCTTCAGCATCTCCATGACCTAATTGACCATCTTCTCCACGACCCCAAGAACAAACAACATTTCCAGCTGCACACCATCCAAAGAATGATTAAACTTGGCTAATAACCATGACGAATGGTTAAATGTGACTTCAAACCTTTCTTGTTACAGCAAACAAAAACATTGCCTAGCTGATATGAAACTATGAAAAGGAGATACTGTCTTTGTAAATTAGCTCCGAACTAAAACAACATTGTGAATGGAAAGTCATGTGTGACATGGAGAATAAACGTTTAGTCTATGTGAGGATTTGAAGCATTGAGCCTAAACAACAGAGACCCACAAACCCAAGAAGAATCAGTATCCAAAAAGATCTAACCCTGTGAAGAACAACAATAGCTATTCGAAGTCAACCAACGCCCGATGAACAAACTCACACATCATCATAGAACGACGGTGCCTCACTTGAGCCATTTTCATCAGTATCTTATAAATAAACAGATCAAAATCTTCTTTGTCAGCACCGTACATTGATCTACCAGAACAATAGCAAGGAAATTGAAGTGAAAAATCAAAGTAGCTTACAAAGAAGAGCAACCGAATGGCTAGCACCCGCAGAGATGAAAAGAACACGACGAACAGGAGAAGTCGCTTCCATCACCACCTCAGTCATTTTCGCTCCGTTCCGAGAATCCGAATCTCAATTTCGTTTGCTTGAGTGATGCCTTCAAAACAGTACGGAACAAGGACAAAAAAAGCTTAAAGAGATGGAAAAAAATGGGAGTTAGGGAAAGGGAAAATCAGTAATGGATAAACAGTGAGAAACCCATATGGAATTTGTGCCTCAAAACAAGAAATTGGACAGAAAAAAGCCAAATAAAACCAAAATTGAGAGAGTTAAAAGAAGGGGAAAAAGTATTTATAATGATAGAGACATGGATATCATTATTTGAAGAGGAAAGCTGCAGCAAACCAACCACCACCCACTGCCGACTGACCAACATTTAAACTGTACCTCACATTCGCAGTGGCTGAGATTGAGAATTCAAGTGGGAATTAGAGAAAATAAGGAAGGGGACTAGACAAGAGCATATGGGCATTGGGCACACCCATGATGAAAGTGGCATTCAATGCGGTGGGGTCCGACCTGTGGTTCCTGTCGCCTTCATTTCGCTGCTCGTAGTTTCTCAATCCGACAAATTGTTTCTTTTCTTCCATTCTCTAAAAGACTGAACCAGAAGCTTCGTTTTCCCTTTTGGTTACTTTGCGACTCAAACTACAAATCTTCAATTATGGAACTAAAAATTGCACTAATTACCGACCTTGTTTCAGTGATCAGTGGGAGATTTCTAAATCATAATCCATTTCAAATCAAATGATTATAATTACTTATGATCCAACCTACAAACTCAAAATTTTGAGAGGTTAAAAAATTAAAATCATTTTTTGAATTTATTTTTTGGTATAAAAAATAAATGGACGTCTCGATTATATGTCATTTTATCATATTAATTATATAGAATGATGGACTAAAGCAATCGTAGTTGTGCAATACATTTTTTTTTTTTTATTTTATGAAGTTGAGGTTAAAATACCCTTCGCCCAAATTTCTTGTACTGAAAAATTATATATGATAGTATAGTATTACATATCTTAAGTATGTAATAACGAAAAATCTACATTTTTAACCCTTGCACGGTTTCCGTAAATTTGCAAGTCAAAAGTTTGAGTTCATCAATTTAAACCCTTTGCTAGTAGCTAATTTAAGTCCATCGATCTTGTGAGCGAAGATATCAAAGGAGTATAAGCAAGTAAAGCAACTAAAACAATCTTATTGTTAGGAGTAAAATTGGATAGAGAGGACAGATACATGTTACAAAGGAAATCAGCAAAACTAAAGCAGTACAAAATTCGAGGAAACGTAAGAAACCCTAATGGTTCTCATATAAAAACGTCGATCACTTTCTCATTTTCATAATTTTTCGTGCTAACTCAAGCATCGAAGCTAGTGTGTGTAGTTTCTTCTCCTTTTGTATGTCACATTCTCTCCCCCCGAAAAAATTTACGATTGCTATCACGTGAAGGTTAGATGTGCTTTCCCAGATCAAATTTTGACAACACCAATAACAAAAAGAAAAGAAAAAACCCAAGTTACTGTTTATAAATTTCAACTTTAAAGAGTTTGTTCGTGTTAAAATGAAAGTGTAAATGCATTCCGATCGTACAATCATTCACAAAAGAAGCTAAAAGAAACAATTGCAATGAATACAAACTTGGGCAATGGAAGGCAATGGAAAGTTGAGAGAGAAAAGTTGCAGAAGAAAAGGAAACAAAGGACAAAAGAAAAGGATTGCCTACTCTTTTGTCCATGGCCTTCTCTCCCCTCTTATTTTTTCTTTCCTTGGACGATTGAGCAATTACATGAACAAGCCATTATAGATCCGAAATTTCATCCATTGATTTGACAGTTGAATATAATACAATACAGATTTGACGAGTGAAAATCTGGACGGTTGAGTATAATGCAGTATCGACGATTGAGTAAAATTTTAAGACTCGAATAATTGACAAGAACATTTTTGTCACTTTCTATTCTAATAAATGCCGAATTGTCGGCAGTACATATTAGAATTGAATTGATCAAGTTCTTTGTGCTTATAATGAATATTGATATATTAAAAAAATGTCAAACAGATGACAAAACAAAAGAACTTATGAGTAGAAGTAGTGTTTATAGGTCAAATATTCAAAAACAAAAAACTAGACCTACAATTTCCACCTCTATAATCAAAATCTATATATTGAAAAACAAAAACAAAATTTTGAAAACCCTTCAAAACTTGACTCGATAAATAGACGTAAAAAAACAAATAGCAAAATAAAGACATTTGCGAGCATAGTGTTTATAGGCCAAATATTCTAAACAAAAAATCAAATAGTTATCAAACGGGATGTACAATTTCCACATTTATAATCGAAACCTATATATTGAAAAACAAAAACAAAATTTTGAAAACCATTGGTTTTGGTTTTCAAAACTTGGCTCGATAAACAAACGTAAAAAACAAATAACAAAACAAAGGATTTCACGAGTAAAAGTAGTGTTTATAGGTCAAAAATTCACAAACCAAAAACCAAATAGTTATTAAACGAGACTTACAATAGTAATGCTCTAACCCTCACTCTTAGATAGATTAAGAGAATGGTTCATTGACCTGTGAAGACACCAGTTAAGGTGGTCTGAATTGATGCAATGGAATCAACAGCAGACTTTGTGAGCCAACTGATACCCACTTTTAGCCTATGCTCATCCGTTGGCAGCCTTATCAAGTATGCTATTTTTCTTGCTGCCAAAATACAATGATATAATAAACAGAAAGAACTAAAACATGCCAAAACCACCTATGATAGTTCATTCTAGAATGACTTTGTAGGAGGATCAAAAGCACTCAAATTCATCCATTTAAGAACGACGTAAAAACACTTTAAGTATGACAACTTAACTCCACCGCTAGCAAATATTGTCCGCTTTGGGCTATTACGTATTGTCGTCAGCCTCACAGTTTTAAAACGCGTCTACTAGGGAGAGGTTTCCACACCCTTCTAAGGAATTCTTCGTTCTTCTCTCCAATCGACATGGGATCTCACAATCCACCCCCTTGAGTGCCCAATGTCCTTGCTGGTACACCACTTAGTGTCTGACTTTGATACCATTTGTAACAGCCCAAATCCACCGCTAGCACATATTGTCCGCTTTGACTCGTTACGTATCCCTGTAAGCCTCACGGTTTTAAAACGCATCTACTAGGGAGAAATTTCCACACTCTTATAAGGAATGCTTCGTTCCCCTCTCCAACCGATATGAGATCTCGCAATCCACCCCCTTGGGAGGTCAGCGTCCTCGCTCGCACACCGCCTAGTGTCTAGCTCTAATACCATTGATAACAGCCCAAGTCCACCGCTAGCAGATATTGCCCACGGTTTTAAAATGCATCTACTAGAGAAAAGTTTCTACACCCTTATAAGAAATGCTTCATCCCTCTCGTCACTCTCGAATTGAAAGTGTTTGGGCTCAAATGCTTGTCTGGAAAACACTACAAAAACTATTTATTTAAGGATTCCGAACCACAGCTCTATAAAATTCGGCAACGTTTATACCTATTTTTGAGGGAAATACTAAGCCCTTACTCCAAGGGTCACTTAAAAAGTAAATATTTTCTTTTAGTATTTTAATAGCATTGTATAACAAAACTATCATAAAAACTTCTAAATTTTCTTTTAATTAACTCAAGACTTCTCAAGAATGAGCCATGTCGAACTCATTCCTAAGCGTCTTTAGAATTTTTCTCAATGCATATTTGACGATACGATAAACGTATATCAGGAAAATTTTATGGTTCAAAAGCACTTGTTGCTATAATATCATGACATAAGAGGTCGATTCAAACTCGCGAGATTAGAACATACCTGCATGACCAGCTGGACCTTCCAAGGTTAAACCTTCAATGAAACTTGGAGTAACTGAAGCGTCATTTCTACCCAAAGTCATCATCTCTCCTAAATTCTGAAATCTGCAAGTCAAATAGAGAAATCACAGCGTTTATTATAGTGACAAGCGAGTTTGAAACGCCTTTTCAAAAAATATAAATATGTATTTTTTGACTTTTCTTGCTTGATCTCAACCACTTTTTCTCGAACACGTAGTCTTTTTCTAACCACTCTTTAGAGTTCTAACCAAATAAGGATTAATTTTGAAAAAAAAAGAACACTTTTAGTCCTCCCTCAATACTTCAAAAAGCAAGCCAAATACACAGGAAAGAAAATAGATCAATAAAAGCTGAGAACAGGTAGTTTGGTATCGAGACGATCAAATTTCGAACCTAAAGGGCAAAAGAGGACGGTTGTTGATGGCAGCCCAGAGGTTCCAACCAGCAAAGTCTGCTTGCTGGAAAGCAACCTGCACGGACAACAGGAGCATATCTTAAAATCGATGACTTCGAAGAAAATATATTCAGAAATAAAATCAAATAAAATAAGCGGACGAGTAGGGAAAATTGAAGAAAATACGAAGGAGGCTTTATCTAGATATTTGACATACTGGATGTTACAAGGAAATTCAGTGAGGTTCTCACTCGTTTATCAATTGTTAAAGAAAAAATTAATAAACATGTATTCTTGTGCTCCAACAATAGTATGCCTGCATGTACATCCTCAAGAACATAGAGACTGAACAGATGCAAAAATCAGCATCCAAGTTTAATGCATCAGCTCAAATTTGCATTGCATACCTGTGCTGTGGCAGGAAGAAGCTGTCCATTTGAATCTCTCAAGGAAGACGAGTCGCCGAGTGCAAATATCCGTGGATGACCCTTAACACGAAGGGTTTCATCGGTTTCAGCTTGCCCCCGAGAATTCAGAGGAAGCTGCTCACGGTAAGTTTTGGAAGATTCCAAAGTCGAAAGCAAAGATTTTGATCCAACGGTCCATAATACTAAATCAGCTTCCAGGGTACGACCTTGTGATCCTCTTTCAGTAGGTTGAAGCTCCAACCTATACCTACTCGAAGCAAGATCTGATTGAGCGCCTTGGCTTCGTCTACCGTTTGGCTTTTCTGAGGTTTCTGCATCATCCACTCTCTGAATACTGCGGACGATATAACCTAGGAGAAGTTCGACATTGCGAGATGATAGAACCTAACATGTATAGCAAGATTTAGCTTGTATAAAGATTACCACAAATCTCATATTCTAGGAATCGTCGAACTAATTAATTCATGCTGTGTTGTGTCTCAAGTTCGATAACATACTTTAAGTGCAGCCTCTCTATTCCCTGGTGGAGCAGTAGGGCAGATTGTGTTCTCCAGATTTATCGCTTGCACCAAACCTCTGTCTTGCAGTCTCTCAGATATTGTGGCAGCTAACTCGACGCCAGAGTAACCACAACCAACAACAGCCACATGAATCAACGATTTCTTACTGAAGTTAGTCCTCTCCAGGGTTTTTAACTGGCTGTCAACCCTCTGCAAAAACAAGGAATATCGAAACATAAAATTTAACAACTCACTTCAGTAGAAGTAACATCTTAGCTGAGGTATTCTTTCAGTTAGCTCACTTGTGCATCCCGAAGGGTAGAGAAAGGTAAAGCGTATTCGGTAGCCCCAGGTACAAGATCAAGCTTAGTTTCAGCACCCAAGGCAAGAACCAGCCTGACTGTCCAAGGTTCATAAGAGAAAAAAGTTGAGACTAGCTTTTTCAACAGCCAAAGGAAATCTAAGGCTCCATTACATAACCATTAGGTTTTCAGTTTTTTATTTTTGAAAATTAGGGGCTTATGGATGGGTTTCTTATTTTTATTATCAAATTTTTACGAATGTTTTCAAAATTCAAGCCAAGCTAAAAAAACGTGGTTTTTAAAAACTTGTTTTTGTGGTTGGAATTTGACCAAGAATTCAAATGTATTTTTAGGAAAGATGAAAATATAAAGAAGTGGTGGGAAAACAAGTACAAGTTTTTTTTTTTAGAGAAACTACAACCAAATGGTTATCAAACGGAGCCTAAATTATCTACATCAAGATTTTCAAAATATCTGATAGAACGCTAAAGAAATACCAATCATATTCAATTTGGAGTCCACTTTCAAGATATACGGTTCCACCACAACTAGCACTTTTAGGATTTTTCACATCAATATGATCACAGGGGTCCAAAAGTTTCACTTTGTCTTGAACAAACTGGACACTCGTATTTGCCAGCAGATCAGAAAAACGAGGCGCAATTTCCCATGCATCCACTTCTGCATGCAATGGAACAGTATATTTTAAATTGATGTAAGGTACATTATCCTAAAATGCAGTAAATTTTATAACAACACAAAAAGACAAACCTCCAGATAGAAGTTCATACAACATTGGCTTGAAAACAAAACGTTCAGACTGGTCAACAAGGAGCACCTGGTTTTGTTTCAATAAGATTAAAGACAATCTCAAAAGTGAAGAGTACTCTAGTAACATGAAATCCCTTTCCAGATGCTGCACAGAAAATTTATTTTCCTCCATCCATTTTTTTTTTTTGGGGNAAAAAAAAAAAAAGTAATTAATATTCTTCACCAGGTTCAAAAGTGAATGAGAAAATGATTGTCGGAAACAGTGAGCTTCGACGATGTATAAATCATGAACTATACAAACAGGAAGTCAAGGGAAGAGAGACGCACAAGAATTCTCCTTCCATATTTTGCAAAATAATAATAATAATAATAATAATAATCATAAAATTCATAGAATTTTTAAAAGGGACTCCATATTTAGGGAGAGAAAAAACAAAATACTACCTTTAAAGGATAAAAATTTGGTCTTCTACAGATTCGGAAGTAAAACGAGAACACGTGTTTGTGTGGACTTAGGTCTCAACATGACAAGCTGCTTGAGCTATTGAAAATCAAGACCAATGCTAAGAAAATGTTTACGAGATACCATAGCTCCACATTGCAAGGAAAAAGGGATAATGCTCGACGATTTCCAAGATCTTCTCTACATGAACCGTGTTTCATACTAATCCTACCTTAAAAAAATACATATGCAGCTAAAATTATTGGAAATCAACACTTCGTTCAAGAGAACGTAAAGGTTATATGGGCTAATTTCACCTTAGCTGCTCAGAAATCTTATCGTTGCCAGTAACAAGGCTCACCAACCTAGAAACTGCAAAGATTTGCTTTCTAACTCGAAGATGTTTCAAGAACAAAAACAGTATATCAAGTAGCCAGAAAAAGGAAGAATTTTCTGTAAATATTGCACTTATGCCTAATTCACAACCAGTTTGATGAGTTGGAAAGGGAAAAGGTATGAGAGACACGGCATTATAGAATCTAATATGACCTGTATGCACCATGACATGGGCCATAAAAAATAACTTTTGGAAAGAAAAACAATCAAAAGGGATATTACCTGAGGTTTTTTGTTATCTGGCCAGAAGAGAGATTCAAGTCTCAGAGCAGTATACAACCCTCCAAATCCTCCACCTAAAATACACACCCTTGGCTTCTGTGAATGAAAAATTATATTACAATGGAGCACCTTCGCTCAATCCACTTTGACATTCAATTTAAAGAATTTCCGTATAGCAGAAAAAGATAGTACACATTATCTTTTGCAAATAAACCTAAAGGAAATAATACACATTAGCTTTTAAAAATAAACCTAAAGGAAACAATACCATAAATGCAAATTTCAGATGCAATAACGTTGGACATAATGAATGACTATCCTCCTGCATGTCATTCTGTCATTTGTTCCAGTGATTATGTTCCAAGTGTATACCATTATTCTTTGGTTTTTCATGCGTACATATATTGAGACTTTAGTTTACAATAACAAGACTATAAACTACTTCATTCACTCGTGGCTATAACCCGTTCACATCTCCCATCTCTTCCTTTGTACTTAAATCTTAATTTGTTATCTGAGAATCTGTCAACAATCGTAAAGCTAGAACAGGGTCTTCTTGACCTGCCACCGAACTGCTAACCTCCCCAATCTACTAAATTCTTGTTTCTTTGATAACACAAAATGTAAACCTACTCCATTCTTCTCTTCTTGATCTCAACCTCTTGATGTAGGATTTGGAGAGCATGACGCAATGGAAGCACCTGCTCCAGAATGTGATTGCTGGAAATGGTTCAGACATTCAAAGATGGACCTCACCATGTCCTAATAAATTTACTTTAGTGAACAGAATCAAAAAATCAATCCCCTTCATGGATAGTGGTCAAAGTCTAACTTTATTGATGAGTTAGATTCTGGTGGCAGACCAACTAGTCATGAGTCACATGACAATGGTCGGCCTTGAAATAGAAGCTCTGGCATAGTTCAGATGGCATAATAAAGGCTATTTGGTCCCACTTAGAACTCCGATAACTAATTCTCTGAATGCTCAAGTTATAACATAAATCTACCATAAGCAAGAAAGTTATGACTTTGCACCAACATCTACGAATTGTGCATGACTATTAACCACAGTTTGAACTCTTGGCAGCCAATTTATGGGAAATGAATGTACTAACAGATACTTCATGAGTGTGTTGAAGAAGGAAACCAAGGTTGAGTTAGCTCACGATGACAAAGGACTAACCTAATTCATAAATCACAAATCCTTTTCCTTCTCAAAGATTATTATTGAGAAAATAGAAAGAAGGTTGTCAACATGGTCATCACGTTATACTTCAAAAGGCGGAAGACTTGCCCTAATACAAGCCACATTATCCAACCTCCCTACTTACTCTATATGTCTCTATTTGAAATGCCACAAAAAGAGGCTGCGATATAGAAAGACTTTTCGGAAATTACTTGTGGAAAGATGGTGCACCTTGTTCGTTGGAATATTATAAACCTCCCAACAGAAAAGGGAGGCCTCGGTTTTCTCTCGATAAGGAAGGACACAACTCTCCTCGCCAAATGGATATGGAAATATCATCCTGAAGAAAAGGCCTTATGGCGAAATCTTATAAAGGCTAAATATACTCCTACATCAAGAAAAGATCACATAGATTGGACCAACCCATGGATTGGAAACACCACGCTAGCTTTGAAGTATCCACTTTTGTACAAGCTCTCTCATAACAAAAAAGCCATGATTAAATAAACGTGGAATGTTGTCAACAAATTTTTGGACCTGAAGCTTGGTAGGAATCTAAAGGATAATGAAGCAACGGATTGGGCCGAATTAAGCCTTGACCTTGCCCCTATGGTATTGTCAAACAAAGAAGACTCACTAACTTGGCTCCCCAGCGCCGACAGGGTCTTTTCTACAAAATCCTTAAGGATGGACATGGGGGAAAAAGTAGAAGCAATAAATCTCACGCTAGCAAAGACAATATGGAAAGGACATCAACCTAAAAAGGTGAAGTTCTTCCTTTGGGAAATAGCGCATAAAGTCATCAGCACAAGTGAAAATCTTCAACAAAGAATGTCTTACATCACTCTCTCTCCAAACTGGTGTCCATTATGCAAGAAAGAAAATGAGTCACAAAGTCACTTGTTTATGCAATGCACATACACTAAAAATTTTTGGACAACGATTCTTAATATATTCAGATGACATCTCACATTTCCTAGGGAGGTAAAGGATTTTTCGGATATGGCCTTAACATACCACCCTTTCAAGAACGCAAAAGCCCTATCATGGAGAACCTCATCATGGCTTTCTTTTGGAATCTGTGGAAAGAAACAAATCAGAGAATATTTGCAGAAATGACACAGACCTACACAAAACTTTTCGACAATGTTGTTTACCAAGCTATATCTATTTTTACTTCCTATAGTTATACCTCCCTCATTGCAAATTGGGAAGGTCTTTTGTAAACATCATGGATTATACATCCCTCTTGTAAATCTCACTCATCAATGAACTTGTCTCTTATAAAAAAAAATTAAAAAAAAATTCTTGTGCCTAGTGTCACGGTCATACATTTCCAACCATGCAACGTCTTGATTTTGACACGCTCACGAAAAGCCTTGAGGAAAACCCAAGTCCCATATATTTTTCGTCCGTCCTTGTGGCTTCGTCGAACCTTAGGCGAGGTTTGTCTTCGCCCAACCGAACGCAACTCATGTGGAATCTAAGCTTCTTTGGCCACACACGCCGCCTGTGCATGCATGTTTAATCTTCTGTGACCCAACTGACTTGCCACTACACTAGGCCAAGTCATCCGACTTGACCTTGCCTCTACTCAGGGCCAAGGTCTCTCAATGCAACATCGCGTCTCATCATGTCATCTCAGTTCCCAATCAACATGACCTACATGCCTTGATGCCATCCCAAGTCCCAGGATGTCATTGGTCATCATAGCTCGCTCTGTCATGGTCATCGAGAAAGGACCTATGAGTTGTTCATATCATTGGGTCATCCCGAACATCCATTCATCTAGGTTATATCGAGGCATTGGACCTCTGTTGTGTCCATACTAGTACATTTACAGAATTCTTTCCAAATAGCGGGTGCATAATCTAACCTCTGATACATGGGCGGAAGTGCAATGTCCACACAATCGTGCCATCCAACAGTGTCCTTGAAAGTCTCATTTCAAAGGAAGTCGTCTGAGACACTTGTCTCGCAACGCTCGCCCTCACTGTGACACACACATATGCCACAAGGTAGCTCCCTTAGAACATAGGGCCCAGGGGTGGTGGAGAGTCGACACCATACCTAGGTACATTTTGAGGCATTTCCACTTTGGCATGTGTCGTGGAGCATCCGTCTGGTGTCCGATTGACACCAAATTTGGCGAGCTTCCATCTTTCATATGGAAGGACATAACTCTAGAGTCGCATGCCTAAACTCCTTTTGGAACCCCAACTTTTGAAGTTATGGCCCGGTGCCCTACCCAGCCCTTCATCAAGCTTATCATTGTCCCTCGTGTTGACATCGTTGCCTCTGTCTCACTTGTGCCTCAGTTTGGCTTCAATGCACATAACTTTGGTGTGTTCGGTGATGCACCGTCCTCCTCGGTTGCATCATGGCAGAGTCACAACCTTCTCTTTCAATAGTATGGTTGTGACACCTAGCACTAGACAAGTCCCCCAATCACTTACAATGTAAGTGAAATCCTTAATAAAGAAGTAATAAGTAGATGCATAAATCATATCGATCGTACTGTACATAAAATTAACAGTTGTAGCTGGTGTAGTGGAAGGGAAGTAAGTTTTATTTAATCAAGAATGAATGCATACAACCTATACAATGAATATTTATACTAAAGCAGCTAACAAGCCAAACTAACCACCTAACTACAACGGCTAAATCTTTAAGACCTGGACCAGCTTGGTTAAACATACCAACTTTCACATCCCCACGGCAGCGTAAGTCAACAAAGCTAAATTACTGAAGTACAGAAATATCCAGACATCAGTAGCTAAGCTTTTAAGTGACTGCCAGATATACTTCAAATAAGGAGTAATCAAGAACAAATAATTAATCCAGGCCAAATTACACTGAAAAAAAAATAATAATAATTTATGCAACCTTTCTGAATAAATAATTCTTTAATCATCTACATGAATGAACTAGTATGACGTCATATACACTTGGCCGCCTCATATCTGCTTCAACTCTGAGATAGCCAAATGGCCGAAAGAACAAAATTCCTGAGTAGCTCAGTTACAGGAGTGCATATTATTCAGTAGGGTTGTATCTTACATAAATATGCACCAATTCATGTTCAATGTTTTCAGAATAAATGAGCAAAATTGCTTTCTTCGAACCATCTAGAACACTGACCTTGTAATCTGGCCAGGCATAGAAACGCTTAGCCGATTCACTTTCAGATATCTCTGCAACACCTCCATTGTTTTTTGATGAACTTGAAATAGCACATCTTATCCCCTTCCCTCGAGAGCTTGAGAATCGACATAAATTGGTTCGAAGTTTTCTTGAAGAACATGGAAAAAAATTTCCAGATCGCCTTGCCACACCTGAAACTATAGCCATCCAAAAGATAAGCATCAGCATTGAAAAATCACCATGATTTGAAGCCACAGATTTCCTATCACTTTTTATGGAGTAAATTTCTAGGTAATGCAGATTTCGTAAATTATTACAATTATTATTATAATTTGATTACTTTCAGTGATTTTGCCCACTTATGTTGGCCTAAACTAATCTCATGGAACAACCATTTGAAACTACTACATCTAAGTTGCTAAAGAAACCTGTAAGATATTAAATCCTAGGTAGCTAAGCACCATAGTTTGAAATCCGTTCCAACACTTTGTATATTTTCCTTGGTTCCATTGATCACAAAGTTACCCATGGATAAAAATGCAAAAAAACGCTGATAGTTCATTGGCAGCCATATTTCAACGAACAGCTCGAATCGGCAGCTCTCAACAGGCAGCTAACTAGTCCAAACATTTGCAAGACATGCATGCCAGTATCGACCTTCCTAGCTTGCCATTACATCAAGCTCCCGAAGAAATCCAAATAAAACCAATGGCTAACGTTTAAAGGAAGCTAACTAAAACGAATGAATCCAAAGGACCATAAGCACCCGCAATTTCCAGAAACCATAACTGAAATCTTCCAAGAGGGAGCAATAAAATTATGTTCACAACAAATAGAACCCTTTGAAACCCAATTTTTTGTGAGGTAGAAAGAAAGAAAGCTTACAATTGACGGTTCCAAGAGCGACAGATAGAGATAACGCGATCAGCGCCATGGATGAGTTCAACAATTACAGAGTTTTCAGTAGAAGAAATGGGAAGTTATCATACGAGCCAAGTACTTTGTAGAAGAGAAGAGAAGGTCGGAAAGTGGCTGTTCTAATTCCACGTAGCCTCAGGAAGATGAAGGAGAAATTAATTTATTTAATCTATTGAATTTTGTAAAAGTAATTTATTTTTATCCATTATTTTATTTTATTTTTTTAAAATGCCCCACAACTTATGGATATGCATTCGATCGGATTAAGATATTATTAATTCGATCGGATTAAGATATTATTAAGACCCAACTCAATTGTTCTATATTTATATACTAGATTGCTATATCAATTACACGTATATACTCTTATATACATACGAGTATATTTGATTTATAAATTAATTAGGTGTACCTGGTATCACAATCGCACTCTTGGAATAACAAAACAACGACACTTGTTCTAACCCAACAAACAAGTCAATCATGAAAAATTCAAACTTCGCAGATAACGTCGACGTATGCTTGAATCTCAAGTTGCGTTTGAGAGATGTTTTAGAAAACATAAGAGGAAATACGTTAAAAATAATTTGAAATTGTATAAGCTAAAAGCGATTAGGCAACAACGACTTTGATAGCATATATAACCTAGATAAAAAGAAGTGACGACTAGTCATATCCCCTATAGTACATTTTAGGACATTTTAGCTCTGACGAGTGTAGACATAATCTTGGTGAATAGTCATACACTCTCGTCTTGACACAACATGAAGTTGTAAAGGTCTATCTAAGATGAAAGCATGTAAAAAGAGTTTGGAACAGACATGCAACCATGGACAATACGTCTTCGACAAGCATGACCAAGACATCTGACATGCGGCCATAGACAATACAACTCGAACAAGAATGACCGTGACACCTGATATCAAGCACAGCAAGATCATAACAAAAATGGGTCATTCATTGAATGTATTTTAGAAAGCTAAGGTATGGAGCTTTCAAACCTTGAAACACAATGATTACAAGAACCTGCTTAAAATTGGAATGATTTCAGGATTTCTTGGGCATGGGAAATAGCCAAAGAAATCTCTTGCACTTCAAGTAATCTCCAGACAATGTGAGAGTTGTTGTTCCTATTACAACATAAACTTATAAGCTCCCATTGTATTCATTCAGGTCATTTGTATATCAACAATCATTGCTTTCAAAAAAAGCTTCCATGGGAGAGAAAGTAATCCAAGCTTAAATTAGTCACCTCCTGAAATGAGCAGAGGTGTTCCATTTACATTGGTATTAGAGCATTTTATGAATGCCACTCATAGTTCTTGTCTAATACATCACATATGTGAAAGCATATGGCTCACTCAGTATTCTTTTCTGAAGAACAGAGAGAGCCATAGCTTCTAAAGGTCATAAAAACGACGCGTTTTTCTGATCCCGACATCAGATTTCACCGTATTCAAATGTCATCATCCCGTGTGATTTATTCTACCAAAACCCTACTGGTGTTGCAACTTATATCTCAGTTTCTGTTTCAATAATTTTGTCTTTTAGCTTTGTATCTTGGAGCGCTTCAAATAGAACAATACACCAATGCTTGTTAGAGCAATGGCAGCAGCAAAAGCACCAGAATATAAAGGTACGGATCCTGGTTTCTGGTCTAATGGTGCATCGATTTGGGCTTCACTATGCTGGATCGACTCAGGAAAATCCAAATGCAACCTTAAAACCTGCAAGTTTTTTCCAACGAGTAAACCAATCAGCTACTTGTCAATTGCATAAAAATTTAAAATACTAAACTAGAATGGCATAAAAATGCATTCATATTCTGCCTGCAGTACCATCTAAATTGCTAGAGAACGTAAATGCCAGAATAACAGTTCTAAGACGGTACACAAAAGATACCGACATTAATTACATTATGAACCAGGAGAGCAATACCAAGTCTGTTAAAAGATATTAAATTCAGCAGTATATTAGATATAACAGATTCATTTGATTTTCAGCATCAAGATAAATGGGTACTGAAATTTAATAAAACTAGAGGATCCAAATGCTCTAGTGTAACTTTGGTGTGGAGTAAAGTCACTAACTACAATGCAGCTTGTAATAGAAAGAAACAAACTAGCTGAACTGCACAAATTAGCAAATTAACAATGATAATAGACATAACAATAACCTACATGGCTAACAGAAAAGTAAAGGATAAGAATTCAAAAGATATTGGAAGATTAAGCTTTGTATCATCCTCTTGATGCACATTATCCAAACTAAACACACTTCTCCTAAATATCTAAACTAGGAGAAGTATGCAGCATTCTGGGAGCCGTTGATTGATGAACTCGGCGAAATTGGATGTTTGGACGTGGTGGCCTTGTCTAAAGGAGGTAGGGTGACCCTTGCACAATTAGTGCTCAATCGCTATCAGACATTTGAATTGGAGAGGTTGAACATATAAACCAGGTGCAGATGCAGTTGGTGATAGTCAAGCGTGGAATGTGGGCCTTAAAAGTGCTCAATTTGATGGAGAGAATAGTTGGGTGGCTTTGGTGGAGAAGCTTAGCTGTGTGCACGACCTTAACTAAGTTGATTTGGGAGAACAATTGCGCTCAAAGAGAGTTAAAAGTATTTCTCAGGTCTTTGGCCTACAGAAGCCTTAACACAGATGACAAATTACAGAGAACGTATAGGGGTTGCCCCCATCTCCATCGGACTGTAGACTGTGCTTAACAGAGGGTGAATCAATTGATTTTTTGTTTCTTAATTGTGAGTTTGTTTCTCGATCGTGCAGCCATGTCGTAGAGCTGCTGGGTATTTCTGTTTCTTCCTAAAAAGGTGGATGGTTGGCTTATGGAAGGGGTGAATGTGAGATCCCACATCGGTTGGAGAGGGTAACAAAGCATTTAATATAAGGGTGTGGAAACCTCTCCCTAGCAGACACGTTTTAAAACCTTGAGGGAAAGCCTAGAAGGGAAAGCCCAAAGAGGACAATATCTACTAGTGGTGAGCTTAGGCTATTACAGATGATATCAAAGCCAAACACCGGGCGGTGTGCCACCGAGGACGCTGGCCCCCAAGGGGAGTGGATTGTGAGATCCTACATCGGTTGGAGAGGGGAATGAAGCATTTCTTATAAGGGTGTGGAAACCTCTTCCTAGCAGACATGTTTTAAAACCTTGAGGGAAAACCCAGAAGAGAAAGCCCAAAAAGGACAATATCTGCTAGCGGTAGGCTTGAGCTGCTATAGTGAATGGGTGGAATTTGAAAGGAAAAGCCAAAGTGGTGGCGAGTTGTGCCTTTAGAGCTCTCTTATGACATCTGTGGAAGGCAAGGAATGCTAGAACCTTTGAAGATAAGTCTTTAGGGTAATTATGAATAATTCAAATAAGAACATGATATCACAAAAGAAAAAAAAAACAGAACGTGTAAGTTGAAAACTTTTACTAAATTAACTACCTTTAGTCCTGTGAACCTGGCATGATTTACAGCACCAGAGAGGTCGCCATCCGTAGAAAGAACTACTTTATCACCTTCATCATCTTCATACTGGAAAGAAACAAAACTATTGACTTACGCAATAAACTCAAAAAATTCCAGTCAGAAAAGCAGTAAGAAGCATACCAAAAGCAGAGGACGACTAGCACCATTAGTAGCACCAACCCTTTGCATCACGACAGACACCAACTCGTCTAAGGTCTCAGTGCCTAAAAAAACAATTATTAATTATTAGTTCCATGCAATTAGAAATCCATTAACAATTTCATCACTAAATTACAGAACAGTTCACCAGTATATTTTATTATCCCTTGTTTAAAGGCGTAAACCAAATTCACCGGGGTTAATTAATGTCTTCACACTCTCGCCAATGGAAACACCCTATGAACATTCTATAATGGGAGGTTGGAGTTACCCTCTTAGGGAAAATGTGATTTAGAAAAGATCCTTTAATTCAACTGTTGATGGCAGGTATAAGAGGCCTAAATGCAACAGGAAGGAAAAAAAAATAGAAATGACTTGCCACTGCTATTAGATATTGTCCTCTCTTTGGGCTTTCCCTTTCGGGCTTCCCCACAAGGTTTTTGAAACGCGTCTACTAGGAAGAGGTTTCCATACCCTTATACTCCAACCGATGTGGGATCTCACATGACTCCACTCAAACGTGGTTTCTGGACAGATTCTAGCGTTTCATTACCCTGCTATATCTTCCCAAAGGGAGAACAGGGGTGCTTTCGAGGAATCTAAAAAGTGATGGCTACGACTTACTAGCTGTGTTTAACACACCTCTAATAAAAGAGAAAATATCATAGAGACCTTCAGATGAAATCAATGAGAGAAAAATCCTTATATGATTCCAAAAGTTCATTGAATGTGAACTACTACGATGGAAGTTAATGGAAGCTTTGTGGTCTCTATCTCTCGTTTCCGAACATTTAGGACTTAAACTTATAGATCTATTTTTTCGAGAGTCAATTTGAGTCAGAAAAACATCATTCTTTGACACAAGGTAGTGGCAGCTCTACTGTCAGATGCGGAAGTATGGTTGGAACATCACAGTATATTTTTCACAATGAAGAGCAAAATGTGGAGTAGATTTGCGAAAATTCAGTTTTTGTTGCCTCAACTTGGAAGCTTTTTTACTATTTCCAGCAAGGGAGTTCATAAAAACCATAAGCACTCACCGCAATTTACGCGATGTACCCGACCCTTCAGATCCTCAAATTTAAAAGTAAATGAGTTTCCAAGACCTAGAGATGGATAGTTTAATGTCCCTTCAGAAGCCATGAGTGCAGACATTTCACTGCAAAATTATCACGAAGGTTTACAATCAGAAACAATCAGACAAGTACATAGCTATTGAGAATTCGTACCTATGTGTATCAAGATCATCAGGTGGTTCTAAAGCAAGTGCTGAATCCCAAAATTTTTGCATCATTGTGCTTGCCATATCATTAGCAGATCCAGAGCCACTTTCAACCTTGAATGACAAAAATCTTTATCAGCAATTGACATTTAATACCTCCTAATGAAAACTAATTATCACAATTAAGGCAGAAGCTTCTTCAACGAGTACAATTTTATGCAAAAATGTGCACATGAATCTTGCCACTATAGATTTGCAAGAGCACCAAGAAATGCAAGCCCCAAAAGTTTTCATCCATTAATATTCAAGAATTATGCCCATAGAAAGCTATTAGCTATTTTGATAAGATTAATGATTACATAACTGAGAGTGAGACAGAAACGCTTTACCGTGGATATTGCAGCATGCGTGATCTGCAGAACATCTACACAAGCAACAACACTCCCCTCTGCATGATAAATGATGTTATCATTAAAAATCACTTCCATATTAAGGATTTCAATTCATTTTAGTGGTTTACATCCTTTTCCCCAGGAGAGGGAGGATATATTCACATTGTAGAATTCAGATCCTGAGAAAGTTCTCACCGCTATCCAAAACAGGAAGATGCAAAAACTTTCCATTATGCATTATGTGCAATGCATCAAGGATTGTTGTCTCTACAGTCGCGCACACAGGATTTTGGGTCATTACCTTGAGAATTGGCAGATTGGAAAAGGAATCAAATACACTAGGATCAGTAAATACAGAGCAACACGGTATTTGATGATTCCACATTCCAAGAGCACAGAGTAATAAGTAAAAATAGCTTTTCAAAAGCAAACCTTTTCCACCAGAGTCAACTCAGGTGAAACATTCTGTGCCACTACTCGCATGAGAATGTCCTTCGAACTGCAGTACAGTTGCAGAACACATAAGCAAACACATTATCATAACAATAAAGTAAATAAATATTTAGGAGAAAAAAGAAGATCTTCTGAATCATGACGAATTAAATGTAAAAGTTTTGTACCCAACATCCACATTAGACCAGCAGTCAAACAACCGACAAAAATATATAGGAGATGGAAAGGCTGCTTAAATTTGGCATTTTAATTTTTGGAAACACATTTGACCTGAAATCAATTGAAATCATGGACTTTTGTAAGAAAACACCATCCAAAACCAACAAATTTTCCAGTAAAGACATCACATGGACAAAATGATTCTGCTCTCCACTGTTGTTACTACACAAGATACATCACTGATGGGACAAAGAAAGACCTAGTTTTATGGCTCGGACCACCATTATAAAGGGCATGTGTACCTATTTAAATTTAATTTGAAAAATAGCAAGATACTTTAGACTTACAACATATATGTTAATGAAACTTTTACATGTATTTTGCCCAGTGAATATGGTTAGAGAATATATCCTGTCTAGCTATGAGCAAGGATATGGATTTGAAGGCTAAGAGTAGAAGCCACTCAGTCTAAGTCCCTTCCTCAACCATCATCTATCGACAAGGAGAACTACAATGTATAAGTCAAGTTACACATGACGACTGTTCAATTCTACCAACTTACTATACAAAGGCTTTTATGTCGGTGGCTAAAACCTCATTCAAAACCAATAATAATAAAGTATTTGGCTTGTAAAATTATTAGGCACAAGTATCAAAAGGAGAAAGCTAGTCATAGAAAAAATATTAGAGAGAAGTGTCATACGTGAGGATTCCTTGAATCTTGTTTCCCATTGTCATTACAACAGAATTAACTCGCAAGTCCCGCATTTTTTTTGCAGCAACAGATATGGGATCGGATGCTGAAACGATTGCAGCTCTGAAAACATAAAAAGCTACAAAACTTGGTAATGATCCAAAGGTGAACTACATATATTCCTCAAATTACAGAGAAATAAGAAGGCTAGACAAAGTACTTGGTATTTTCAGAAAGAATGGTTGATAAGGAAGGTTTAAACATCCGCTCCCTCAGCGTCTCTATAAAAGCATACGGAGCTGAAATGATGATAAATAAGTTTAGTAAAAATTATACAACCAAATATGAAAATGATATGTTGAAGAAAAATAAAATAATATAGACTTGTAAGTGGTATGCAATGACCTCAAGGTGAATGCAAGGCTTTTCCTACTAAAATGTAGGATTGTTGCCACGCATACCTTTCCCAAACAAACAAGTCATTCTTATGAATTAGAAAATGGATCATTTGTCATTTATGCCCATATAAATGTTCCCTAGGCACTAACAAAAACTAATGCTTATACCAATGCATGCAAATTATAGATAAACATCCTTCTATCTTTAGGAACCAAACAGAGATAGCAACAATATAACGTATTAATCTCTCATCTAAATCTGAGTTCCATTATAGGTGTGCACATATAATCTCCTTTTGTCGTTAGAATTCAAATAGCGAGGATCCTCATGTGTGCGTTCACCAGTAACCAACTCAAAGATTAGCAAAGTAATATGTGTTTAGACCTTCATTTGTATCTAACATCATTATCATTAGTGACAATGCATAGCTATAATTACTGCCAAACATTAAAATTTACATCAATTGCGCTGATGATACATGATCATATTTAAGCATTTATGTACATCACTCCCTTAAACATTTATGAGATTACTATTTCAAGCTAAGGGATACGTATAAATTTGATTAAATCCACCATCATAACACCAGTCATAAAAAATATGCAATAAGGTCACATAAAGAAGTACATAAGCTAACCACAACATACCAGAAAAATCATTTCCCCACTGGCGTTCCACCCCTTCAACAGCAGCAGCAATGGCACTACCCTGCTCTGCAGCTTTCTCCATTCTTGATATGGCATCATAGAGGCACTTCGTAATATCCAACAAAGCAATAACTTCCCCATTTTCAACAACAGGAAGATGCCTAAATTTTCCTATAGAAAATGACGGGTAAAATGTAGGATGCTTCAGTGATCAGGTAAAGGATAAACCAAAGAAGAAAGACCCCATTACCAACAAAATACTAAATACTTAAATGTAGCGCAAAATTCAACCAAAATTAAAATTCTTAGCTATTGTAGATATATAATAGCATGAACTTCAAGTAAATACTCCAACTTATATTATAAATAACCAACTAAAAGAACAATTTAATTATAGCATGAAGCCGGACATAATATACATATTGTCGAAACAAAAGAAAATAAAAAAGCTTATTTCATTAGAATATTGACACGGAAGATCAAAAAATCAGACATACCTGCCGTCTCATAAAATAGCTCTAAGGTATCAAGAATCAATTTTGAAGTACAATCAAAAGCCCATGGAATGCCCATTGACATGATATCCCAGCCAAGATATATCTAAAATGATCCTATCCACTACACATACCAAAACCGACTTCCAAGATTGTAATATCCGAATTTTTAGATAAACAAATAAAAAAAATAAAAATAACAACATAGGGGCAAAAGGGTCATTTTGCCCCTACTCTTACCTAAGGGGTCTAGTTGTTTGGGCTCTAGAAGAAAGAGAAAGAAAAGAAAAACGAGAGAGAGAGAGAGAGAGCTGTGAGAGAGAGAGAGAGAGAGAGAGAGGAGAAGAAGTTAGGGTTCGAGAGAGAGGAAGAGTAGAGAAGACAAACCGTCGGGAGATCAAATCCAAGGCAAGAATCTTCGAAACCTCTCTCGGTGCTGGAAAAGGAGTTTGGGTGGTGGATTCACTCATTCTGGCAAGAAAATCCGAGAACGGACAACGTAAGGTTCCGAACTTCTTGTTTCGATTTTATCTAGATCTGAGGAGTTTCTTGAGCGTTAGATCTGGAGTTTTTGAGATATGTAACTAAAATAAGATTCACACAGGTTTCTTGAAGTTCCTGGACGAGAATCAGACGAAAATTGGAGTTTAATCGGACTTCGAGTAAACCGATCAAAAACAAAAAAATGTGAGTTTTTCCGTATCTTTGGACTACCTTAACTCATCTTGTGTTCATGGAAAAAAATAAAGGAAAAATATATTGTAGAAGTAGAATATGAGATCTACAATTTTCGTGAAGAAACTTTGTTGATATGGATTACGGATTGAAAGATGAGAAAATCCGAAGAAAATAGATCGAAAACGCTAACATCTGGAAGTTTGAAACACACGCAGGAGAGAGAAAGAGACCGCTATGCGTCGACCGACGAACGGAAGAGCGCGGCGGAGCCGGCGTGCGTCACGTGGTAGCGTTCCACTGGTGCGCTGAGTCGGGTTGACCCGTACACCCGCCGAACCGGTCCGAAAACCCGCGGTCCAACCCGACGTTTCCTGCCAAACACTGTGCGCCACGTGTCGCGCTCATAAAATTTGAAGGTAAGTCTGCGGCCGCTAGGTTCGAAATGCGGCACTGCCCACGCGTGTGCCTAGCGCATGTGGGCGTGTGCCAGCGCGTGTGAGGACCTGCTGGTGCGTGGGACCCCATTCTCTCACCCGTTTGGCCTTCGTTTGCTTGTTTTTCGCCCCAATTTCAACTCTGATCCTATTTTTATGTGAATTAGGACCTATCAAGGAAATTACAGAATTTTTGGAACCTTTTCCGGCAAATAATTCGAGCTTGGGAAGGCACGCGTCAACCAAATAAGTAACCATTTGGATTCCCACGAGCAGTACTTGTAGGAACCGCTTGGAATAAGCATGCATGCTATCATACTCATAAACCTAGCTGACCGAACCTAGCATATTAGTATAGAAACCATGAAAATGAAATAAATAAGGAAATCTATGGCTTCTAGTTATGAATGATGATGTAATCTGTTTACATTGAGATTCTGATAATGTAGGTATGCATGAGGAGGATGGGAAACTTGTGAAATCTGCGCTCCGGGTGAAGATGGATGTTATCTTCCCGTTGAGCATGTTTGTTAATATTGCATGAACTGCTGCATGTTAACTCCTATGCATGATGATTGCTTGTGTTATCTTTATTGTTGAATATGAAGAAATTATGAGCTTAGATTAGGGTGCTTGTGACTAAGTAGGCTAGACGAGACCCTAGATTGGGGAACCTCTAGAATACCATGCATTTAGACCCGTGAAACGATTACCAGCGGATCCAGAGCCCAGAATTCCAAACCCGATAGGTTTGTGAGACCTTGCACGAGAATCCTAGAGATGCATGAATCCAAGTTTAAGCCACCAAGTTCCACCCTAGAAAGAATAGTAGGTGACCACGGTAACTGTAGGTAGCCCGTTAGAGTTGAGCAGTGTGGATAGTATCATCAGAACCTCCACTTCCCTCTCTACTCCGATATCGTACCATCGAGGCAGATCTCCGGTACGGAGATCGTTGAGCTTGGCAGATCCGGTCAGGGAAGTGTGACAGGTGCCCAGACCTAGTGGTGATAGCTAAGGGGTCTTCTGAACAGGACTATTGGGCCGTAGAAACCCGTCCCTAAGCGGGAGACGTGGGGCCACGTAGGATGACTTAGTAGCTGACCGGCACACAGGGGGTCGCACCCTGAATTTAGTGGATGTATGGTCTCGTGTGAGGGTTGTTAGCTAACCTCCACGGATGATGTTCAAAGAGAGAGTCACGTATTCAGATCCAGCCATACGATCCCCTCAGATTTACTTATGAGGTCGCGCCTCACCTCTGGACATTGATCATTCCATTGCATAAGATGGGCAAGCCTCCTAAGATACAGAAAAGATAGTTGTAGCGTGATTCGTACTCATTAGAACCCAGAGATAAGACTGTGGATACCTACTAAGATAATGATGCGAAAAGAGCCTACAAGTAGGTTGCTTACTGAGTATATTCTTATACTCACCCCTTTCTCACCTTTTTTTTTTTCAGGTACCAGTCGATACGGGGAGGTGTTCAAGAGCTACACTGTCACAGAGGGGTGTCGTTCCAGAGCGTCAGTCCCTTGTCGGTCTTTTAGAGTCTCTTGTCCGTTTTCATATTTAGAGTCTTTTGTATTTCATTTTATATTTGTAATTCCTATTTGTAACATTTGACTTTGATTTTATATTTAATTTTGGTGTCGTTGATTTCCTTTTCTTGTTTTAAATTTTGCCAGAATTTTACCTTCTATTTTATTTTCTTTTTATTTGTATTTGTTTTCGATTTCGTCTTTTTAGTCACGGTTCGGTCTTTCGAAGCCTCGAAAGTCGGGTCGTGACAAAGATCTCTTAACCAATACGATTAGTTCTTTCAAGCAAAAGGCCCCACAAAATAGCAAAAACCAATAAAATGACCCCCAAGCACAAAAGGGTGACTGAAGAAGAAACTCTTCCAGCAAAGAGCTCACAATTCAAAGTGAGATAAGCTGACGTTGAACATCTGAAAAGGAAGTCTCAAATCAAAGAAGCAACTAACGTCTCCACAAAAGGTGATAAGGTCCTCTCAAATCAAAGAAGCAACATAACATCTCCACAAAAGGCGATAAGGTCCTCTGCCACTCTCTTGCAAAGGATACAACACTGCAACAATATCAAAGAGATTGACTTCCTCAATATGCAGCCCAAGGTGTCATTTTTAACACTACTATGAAGCACTTGCCACACAAAAGGAAGAACTTTTTTTTATTTATTTTTTATCTTATTACAAGAAATGTTGAATGGTAAAAGAAAAAAGGGGAAGGATACAACCTAGGGTTCAGGAGTCGAGGAAACCCCCGCCGTACACTAAAGAAGAATGGATTTTAGCTTAGCCAAGTCACAACTGCCCAGTAAATTTCCACTTTGGAAGAGGGCCACAAGATGTTCCTCCCAGGTCTTGGTCAAAGGAGCCCGCATGAGGCGATTGAAAGTGAAGCATGGACCTTCACTGATGTAATAAAGTTGGGAAAAATAGTCAACAATTTCTTTCTCAATATCTTTTTCGGTGGTAAGAGTGTTGCCACCATGAATTCTGGTACTAAAGGTCTCCTTGGAAAATTTAGTAATAGACTGAATAGACCTACAATGGATCATTACCCCATTGTACTCTCCATGGGTTGCTTCAAATGGGGCCCCACGCGCTTAGCTGGTGGCTAAGGACATGGATTCATTAACCAACTCAAATGGTTAAAAACAACGTTAAGAAATGGAACAAGGGGTTTTCGGTTGTATTTCCACAAACAGAAATCAGCTCCTTACAAAAATTACTCTTCTCGACCAAATGGAGGAAACCGACCTATCACAATAGTTCAACGCACATAAGAAGCTCATGAAAGCCAAACTCATTTCAATGGCTACAAAGAAAGAGCAACCTTGGAGACAAGAGTGTAAAAAAAGATGGCTCGAGGAGGATGACACAAACTCCAAATTTTTCATAGCATAATGGCCTCAAAGAAACAAGAGAGTGCTATCATGGAAATTCTATCAACACAAGCGGAATTTAGACAACAAAGAGGAAGTCGTCTCAAAATTTGTGTCCTTTTATATGCCATTATATACAAAGATAAACACAATCACTAAATTTTCCCACGATCTTGACTGGAGCCCAATCAATCAACACCAAGCAGCTTCCCTTGAGGTTGCATTCACCAAAGAAAAAGTATGGAAGGAAATAAAGATTCTGGGTTTCGACGAAACTCCCAGGTTGGATCGATTTACCTTCGAATTCTTTAAAAAAAATGTTGGAACATTCTAAGAGTCAATATCAAGAGAGTGTTCAAGGATTTTTTTTTTTCTTTTTGCAAAATGGAATTATCGAAGGAAACTTAAATAAAACATATATCTATTTGATCTCAAAGAAAATGGATAACTCGCACTGTCACTGACTTTCGAGCTATAAGTCTTACGACAGGACTATACAAAATATAGCAATGGTGGTATCAAAACGCCTCAAAAGGGTTCTCCCTTCCATGATTATTAGACAGCAAACAACTTTAGAGGGACGACAAATCGTTGATGCATCCCTTATGGAAAATTAACTTATAGATGAATGAAAAAGGAGTAAACAAAAAGGTGTAATCATCAAACTTGAACTGGAAAAAGCTTTCGACAAGGTCGATTGGGTTTTCATCAAAAACATTCTTGCAGCAAAATGCTTTGGCTCAAAATGGAGGGGGTAGATAAAAGGTTGCATCTCTTCTAAAAAAATTTCCATCATCATCAATGAAAGACTTAAGAGTAATAATCTATGCCACACTTGTTCTTTGACAAGGGAATCCACTATCCTCGGTTCTTTCCATAATGGTAATGGATTGCCTTAGTCGCTTACTTACGAAGGCAGAATATGTAGGCCAAATAAAGAACTTCCATATTGGTAATGAAGGCTTAAGTATCAACCACTTGCCATTTGCGGATGACACAATTCTCTTATCTGATTGTTCAGATATCTTCTCCACAAAAACATATTTAAGATGGTGAAAACCTTCCAAAGATTTTTGGGACAAAACATCAACCTCTAAAAAGAAAAGACCATTGGCAACAATTTAGCAAAGAGGATATCAAAGACTTTGCCAACACATACAGTATAAAAAAGGTGACTGCCCGAATATGCATCTAGGATTGCCCTTAACTAGGAATCCCAAATATTTCTCCTTCTGGAAGATCATCATTGAAAAAATAGAAAGAAGGCTATCCACATGGTCCTCATGCTACACATCTAAAGATGGCAGGCTCACCTTAATACAAGCCATATTATCCAACCTTCCTACTTTGCTAAATGTCTTTATTGAAAATGTCACACGAAGTGGCTACATAAATAGAAAGATTATTCAGAAACTATTGATGGAAAGATGGCACACATCTTGTCCGATGGAATACCATCAACCTCCCAATTGAAAAGGGAGGTCTTGGCTAATATTTGACAGAGAAGAACAGAGCCCTTCTTGCTAAATGGAGTTGGAGATATTACCACAAAAGGGTTATCCCTTCCATGATTATTAGACAGCAGACAACTTTTGTAGAGGGACGATAAATCCTTGATGCATCCCTTATGGAAAATGAACTTATAGATGAATGGAAAAGGAGTAAACAAAAATGTGTAATCATCAAACTTGATCTAGAAAAAGCTTTCGACAAGGTCGATTGGGTTCTCCTAAAAAACATTCTTGAAGCAAAATGCTTTGGCTTAAAATGAAGGGGAGATAAAAGGTTGCATCTCTTCCAAAAAAATTTCCATCATCATCAATGAAAGACTGAGAGTAACAATCTATGCCACACGGGGTCTTTGACAGGGGAATCCACTATCCTCTATTCTTTCCATAATAGTAATGGATTGCCTTAGTCGCTTACTTACGAAGGCAGAATAAGTAAGGCAGGTAAAGGACTTCCATATTGGTAATGAAGGCTTAAGTATCAACCACTTGCAGTTTGCGAATGACACAATTCTCTTACCTAATTTGCCAGATGTCTTCTCCACAAAAAAACATATTTAAGATAGTGAAAAACTTCCAAAGTTTTTTTGGGACAAAACATCAACCTCCAAAAAGCAAAGACCATTGGCAACAATGTTAGCACAGAGGATATCAAAGACTTTGCCAACATATACGGTTGTAAAAAGGTGACTGGCCGAATATGCATCTAGGATTGCCCTTACCTAGGAATCCCAAATCTTTCTCCTTCTGGAAGATCATCATTGAAAAAATAGAAATAAGGCTATCAACATGGTCCTCATGCTACACATCTAAAGGCAGCAGGCTCACCTTGATACAAGCCATATTATCCAACCTTCCTACTTTGCTATATGTCTTTATTCAAAATGTCCCACAAAGTGGCTACATAAATAGAAAGATATTCAGAAACTATTGATGGAAAGATGGCACACATCTTGTCCGATGGAATCCCATAAACCTCCCGATTGAAAAGGGAGGTCTTGGCTAATATTTGATGAAGGAGAAGAACATCGCCCTTCTAGATAAATGGAGCTGGAGATATTACCACAAATGTACCACAAAAGATTCAGACATTACTAAAAAGAGAGTATGTCCTTTTCTTTTTTTTTTTTAAGAAAACTTCATTGATGTATGAAATTTACGACAAGGGGGAGAGAAAGCCCAAAACCAAAGGAGTTACAATAAACATCTCCAATTGGGCAAAAGTGAAGAAATAATACAAGAGGAAAAAAGTGAATTCAGTTGGCACCAAGATAAAGCAAGGAGCAGAACAATATCAAAGAAGACCAGATATGTTTCTTCTCTGGACTCAGAAGCACTACGGTTTCTTTCAATCCAAACCGACCATATAAACACCTGACCAAATTCTGCTTAAGAAGTTCCTTCATGTCTTTAAAAGGGTGTCCCAATAGGAGTAAAGATAAGAGTGTGGGGTCCTTTGGTAGGGCCAACTTCCAATTAAAAATCAAACCTCAAATTGTTCCCAAAAAAGCTGAGATGTGTGATTGAGTCTCCAAATCAGCTTTGCAAAGGATACACCTACTTGGAGAGAGAGTCATGGAAGGGAACTTCCTTTGAGTCTATCATTTGTGTCTAAAGCCAAATGTGCATACTCCCAAAGGAAGAATTTAATCTTCTTTGGATAAACACCGGACCAAATGGCCTTTGTATGAAGGCAAGGATTGTTTGTAGACGAGGGAACAAGGCTGTTTAGCGAGATTTTCCTGTAAAACTTCCAGACTTCTCATATGGCCACACCCAAATATCTTCCTCACTTGATATATGGTTGCTGCATAAGATGAAGCTCAAATCAACCCACGCTGTCGCTTCTTCTTCTTTAAACTGCCTTCTGATGTGCAAGTCCACAAAGCCAAATCCTGACTCCACTTATCTTTTTGTAGGTATGTCCCATCTCAGAAAATCCTTCTTCAAAACTCCAGGAAAGGGGTCCCAAGTCAGCCTAGAAAGCCTTTTTGCTCTCAATTCTTTGAAAAAGTCCACTCGAGCTCTAAGATGAACATGTAACAAGAATGGTACTAGGAGACATGTAGCAGAGTGCAATGGGAAATTACACAGAACTGTTTAATATTGGCAAATTTTAAATCAAACTCAAGGAACGAGAAAACTATCAATTTTGGACAAAAGTAAGCTGCTATTTGAGGTTGGACCACGTATATGGGCCAATACTATGTGAGGATCCACAAGATCGAGGGAGCAAATTAAAGAGCTAAACTTTCACATGTTTCTAGTAATTCTATCGTTGTTAATCTAAACATTGCTCAACTGTTTAAGACATTATATCCTCGAACAAAAGGTAAAGGTTCAAATACCCACCCCACAGGTGTTGAACTCAAAAAAGTAGCTCTACTGGTGTTAGACTTCCCTTTTAACCATCTGGGCACATTGAAGTCTCCCCTAGTGCACCAAAGCCCCTAAGATTGACTAAAAAGGTCACCCATGTCTGACCAAAAATCTGATTTTCTGTGAAGAGATGGCACCACGATCTTCCTAATGAAGGGAAAGTCTACTGGCGTAGGGGTTGATCTTCCTCGTCCTCTATAGGATCCTCTAGGGGGCTGACAGTCATTAGTGGTTGAACATTTTCTATAACAAATCAAACCAAGTTCTAGGAAAGATTGCAGAGCTAAATTTTTTTCACTAAGACTCTGTCCTCCCTAAGAACGTCGTCGTTACAGTGTGGAGGTAAATAGCTCGTTTATGCATCCAAAGAGAGAGCCTGTACGGCCTCCTCCGCTTAAGTGATTGAGACTTTTTGCTTAATTAATATCTAAGAAGCAACAATCAGCCAGTTAATCCATGCAAAAAAGATTGAAACATATGAGAACATCAGAGAAATGAATTAGACGGAAAACAAACCAACCCTGAACCATTTTCTGGAGGGCTTCCATAGCAAGTGAATCTGAAGCAACAAAAATGGGATTCCGCGTCATAATTTTCGATACGACTGTCTGCTCCGGCCTCAGCCCCTCTGCTATAACCCTGGTAGCAATGTCCTGATAGAATCATCACCACAAACAAACACAAAATACTAAGAATAAAACACAATATTAGGAAGAACTCAGAAGTGAGTAAACAATAACATCTCAAAACAAACCTTATCCGTAAGAATACCCGAAAGCATAGCATTCGCATCCGTCAGCAGCACAGCATCAACACGACGAGCAGCCATTCGTCGACACGCTTCAGAAACCGTCGTCCCCTCCGGAATCGTAAGCGCTTTCGACAACCTCAGCTTCTTCACAGTCCTTTCCCCAGCAGCAGCAGATCTACATCATCCCCAAAACCACAACAATATCAAAACAACAACAACAACAACAACCCAGAAACAAACCAATAAGAAAAAAACACCACTCACGGCAACTGAGGAGGAGAACCCGGTTTGGGAACATTGCCATTACTAGCGCTACCATTATCGGCGGAGACCGACTTCCTGCTGGAGATGGAAGAAGCCCGTTTCTGGGTGTGGGAGTTCCTCCTCTGGGAAGAAGAAGAAGCAAGCTGAGTACTCATCTTCAACAAAACACTAAATTAAGGGTTTAATTCCCTTCTGAACCGATTGGGATAAGGAGTTTATGCATGAATTGAGGGTCAATGGAAATGGAATTGGGATTGAAAAGGTTGACTCGGAAATCAGAGAAAGAGAAATTAGAGGTATGACGACTATGGCGCAAGGATACGGTGGCCCCAACTTTCTCCCGGCGTCGGAAGTAGAAACCGGCCAAGCCCTTTGTCTCTTTCCCAGGCGGTCGAATGTGAGGGATTGGCTGACAAGCAGCCACACGCGGCCTTTCTTTTTGTTTTGTCTTTTGCAATACAATCTACCAAACGACATCCCGATTAGTTCCTTTCTACATGTCGTTTCTTTCTTTTTTTTTTTTTTTTTTTTTCCTCATGCTACTTTAATTTAAATATACATNTTTTTTTTTTTTTTTTTTTTTTTTTTTTCACTCATGCTACTTTAATTTAAATATACATCGATTATTATTATTATTCGGATCGACCTTTACGTTGTAATTTTTTACATTTATCTTCTTTAGAAAAACCGAGCTGTGGTTCAAATAGGTAAGCCCAAAGCGAGCAAAACCGAGTTCAATAGTTAGGCTCAAAAGTCGTTAAAGTGCAAACCACACATCCACGGAAAAGTTCGACAAAATAGAAGAGTTCTCTTTCATTTAAAAGACTAGCAAACAAAATCATAAAATGCTTTAAAGTTTTCGGTGTTGAATACTATTTTGAAGAGCAACGACTCCTGAAGAATTGAAGACTCAAAAACGTTAAAGAATAATTGAAGTTTCAATCTCGAGAACAAGCACTCCAACCCTTGAGGAAATTTAGTCGGGAAACTCCCTTTTAAAAGCTAAATACTCTTCAGAGACTAACAACGTTTTGAAGACTCCAAGACGGTCACGACCAAAATAATTCATTTTTTTAAAATTTAGAAACTAAAACAGACATTATAAAAATTTAAACTTTCTCAAAATCGTCTAAGTTTTTAAAGAACTATTTGGGTAGTTTTTATAAATAGGCTATTGGCCTACCAAATACTCGCCCACTACTCGGACCGCCCCGCCTCGTCCTGCTCCCTTTCAAGTGATTCAAATCGAATAAGATAAGTCAGAATCACCCACCAAATCAGAAACCGAGACTAAATTATAAGTTTCAATGTCACGAGTTTATGAACCCTAATGATTACTCAAGAACACACAGAAACAGAAACAAGCTTTGGATAACATATGCCAAACCAACTCCCTCACAACTCTTTGGTTATTCAAACAATTATAGTAACGACCAATCACAAAACAAACATATAAATTGTCGCAGCAAGCTATTTTTGTGTCATAAGATCGTAGAAAACTTCTGGCTTTTTGTAATCAGCAACACAGAGAGCCTGAAACCAAAAATCAACAACAGGGTGATCTTAGTTTGAGCAGGAGACTCGTATTCTAACAACTCAAACCCACCGCTAACAGATATTGTCTTCTTTGGACTTTCCGTTTCGGACTTCACATCAAGGTTTTAAAATGTGTCTACTGGGAAGAGGTTTCCACACCCTTATAAAGAATGTTTCGTTCTCCTCTCCAACCAATGTGGGATCTCACAATCTATCCCCCTTGGAGGCCAGCGTTCTCGTTGGCACACTACCTGGTGTCTGGTTCTGATACTATTTCTAACGGCTTAAGCTCATCGTTAGCAGATATTGTCCTCGATATTGTCCTCTTTGGGCTTTCTTTTCCGGGATTCTCCACAAGGTTTTAAAACACGTCTACTAGGAATAGGTTTCCACACCTTTATAAGGAATGATTCGTTCCCTTCTCCAACCAATGTGGGATCTCACAATCCATCTCCCTTGGGGGCCAACGTCCTTGCTAGCACACCGTCCGGTGTCTGGCTCTAATACCATTTCTAAAGGCCCGAGCCCACTGCTAGAAGATATTGTCCTCTTTGGAATTTTCCTTTTGGGCTTCCCCTCAAGGTTTTAAAACGCGTCTACTAGGAAGAGGTTTCAACACTCTTATAAGAAATGCTTCGTTCCCTTTTCCAACCAATGTGGGATCTCACAATCCACCACCTTGGGGATCAGCGTCTTTGCTAGTACACCGCCCGATGTCTGACTCTAATACCATTTCTAATGGCTCAAGCCCACCGCTACCAGATATTGTCTTCTTTGGTCTTTCCCTTTCAGGGTTCACCTCAAGGTTTTAAAACGCGTATACTAGAAAGAGGTTTTCATACCTTTATAAGGAATGTTTCGTTCCCCTCTCCAACCAATGTGGGATCTCACAGCACACAGCCTGGTGTCTGGCTCTAATACCATTTCTAACCGCCCAAGCCCACCGCTAGTAGATATAGTCCTCTTTGGGCTTTACATTTCGGGCTTCCCCTCAAAGTTTTAAAACGCGTTTATTACGAAGAGGTTTCCACACTCTTATAACTTTTTGTCTGTTGGGTACAAAACTATAAATATTGCTATCAAACCAAAGCTTACCTGCATTGCATATGCTATATGAATGAGCGTTGCTTCACACCAAGGCTTGCCAATGAACTGGAGGCCAATTGGCAAACCAGTTTTATCATATCCAATCTGTAAACACAAAGTTTTCACAAAGAACAAGTCCAGTAAATTATGAAACCCCAAACAAGAACATCAAAGGATGAACTCATTGATATCTTACTGGAACAGTTACTGCAGGCAATCCAAGGAAGTTTCCAGCTATTGAGTATCTAACAAGTGCAGCTGAAAAATGATACAAAGTTATCCATTTCCACTTGCTCATAGTTCGTGATAGGAAGGACTTAATTGAAAAAACTCTATACATGGATCATGAAGTTGTAAATTTAAAAAAAGACAACAGTTTGAACGAGCGCAGGCGTGAACGAACGTAGGCCCGTACCTCCATTAATGTAGTCAAGTTCTCCAGTCTTGAGAGCATCATTCAAGATAGGGTAAGCAGTTACACTGATTAATAGAGTATAAATATTAGAATATAACAACTTGCTCGGGATGTATCTCTAAATTTTATTTGAACTTGGGAGAACTATGCTAGAAAAGAGTAGGTTATGACTCCCACGTTACAAACAACAGTGCCGCTCATCCGACCATGTTAATGGTCGAGAGCGAGAAGTGTCGTGATGCAACTGAAGAGGACGGTGCACCATTTAACACACTAAGAAGAGTGTCCAAGAAAGCCAAACAAAGACGCAAGCAAGACGAGAAGCAATGGTGTTGTTAGCAGCAATAAAACCTTAGCCATAACCTTGAAGTTAGAGTTTTGTGGCGAGTTTGGACAATCGAATCTGGAGTTGAGTGCATCTAAGTGTAAGATGCAAGCTCGTTAGATGTGGTGTCAATTGAACACTAGATAGACACTCCACGTTGCCATATGAATCCTCACCGTTTTGATGTGCATTTGTGTTAGACCTAGAATGCCTTAGAATGTACTGTAGAGGGAGGCATGATATAGGATTTTTATTACTCTTAGGTCCCATGCCTAAGTGAGCTACTCATGACAAATGTGCCTGTTATGGTTTGGATACGCATTGAAAAATGAGTGTCTTGGGCGTCTTTCTTTGGTAATGAGATTTCAAAGACATTGCTGGGTGACACAAGTGTGCCGACATTGTGCCCCTTCCCATGGGTCGAAGGTTGCATCATAGGGTTGGACTTTGACATAGTGTGTAGAAACGACTCAGCATGGACATGGAATGGTTCATACCTCGATAGTGTCCAGATTAACTCTAACTCTGTTAGTTAAGATGCATTGGTCTCTTCAAGCCAATAATGAACCTGAACTATAAATCCATTTAAAAGTTTATAAAGAGGTTACTGAAAAGTACCCGGTTGTCGGTGACACGATGACATCAGCATGTGCTAGTATTTTCCGATGAAAATACATTTGGCGATTCCTGTAAACATTTGTAACCATTTAATACCAAAAAAAACGAACCGATAACATTTCAATTTTTATCCGATCGTGAGAACGAAATAAATAACGAAATAAAGAAAACACATCAACATTGTTAGGTTAGAAGCCTCCTGCTTATTTATAGCTTACTCAACATAGTAGAGCTATACATGGTAAATATAGTAAATGGTCGTATATAGAGGCTATATATGGGAGATAGTTATATATAGTAGATGGCTATATCTGATAAAACTATATTATAATAAACTGAACCATATATATACCTAGTGCACGTACTTTTTGGATTCTCTGTATTCTCTTTTACTATACATACTTGAAGTCATCGATATAAACCTCTAGCCAATATTCTTCCTTGTATTTTATCTCTCTTGTTCTTTGTGTTCATCTAGATCGAGTGTGTGTTGTTGTGCGATCCTAACACTCATGTCTCCCGGAATTGTTAAAGACAAAAAGCTCATGAACATCTGGCAAACATACACGATTTCTTATTCGTTCCACTTTCGACAAAATGATTTAATGAAGACTAAAAATATTGTTTCTAAATTACCTAATCTTCTGAGCTTTTATGTACTCCTTACTACCGAAAGAACCATAAACAGCAAGTGCTACTCTTGCATCCCATCCTAGTTGTGAGGAATCCCTGTTTCAATGGGTTGAGTCGACTCGGGATATATCAAACGTTAAATGATAGGTAAATATCGAGGTTGAAGTTAACGTACAGCTTTTCGAGATAGGAACTCAATGAAGTGCTGCACTCGGACGCAATTGTTGAATAATGTGCTAAACGCATCACTTCTATCTCGGGAATCGTCACCTCGACCGTCTTTAAAGTAAACAAGAAGATCACCTCAGCATGCACAGTTTATGTTACTTCATCAATACATTGTCTATTTTAAACTAGAGGATAGGTCACGAGACGTAAAGGAACCGATAAAGCAGTATGTCGGGTTTTCGTACCTTCCAGCCATGATGTTTTTGAAGTTTGTCCAAGGCATTAGAACAGCAAATTCTGATATCATCACTGCAGTCGTTAAACCACTAATTATCTCAATTAGTGGTGTAAGAAGAAATGAGATGATTTGAAAACATTACTATATTGATTATGAACATCATGTAAGTTAATGTTGCATTACTAACCTCACCATACTTTGCCATTGTAACCGAAGGTATTGGTCTTGATGAGTTCAGCAATGGAAAACAAAGTTTGGGCTGAACGCTCATAAAGGTGAATGGAAAAGGTATAAACAAAGGATCATGATATGTATAGAAGACACATGAAAACAGCATACTGTGACTCCTGTAGGCATGTATATGCAAACATTCACCAACATAGACGTGTAAGCATGATATGTCCTACACATTTGAATCGTTTCAGTCATAGTATCCGTAACGGTCCAAGCCCACTGCTAGCAGATATTGTCCCCTTTGAACTTCCCCTCAAGGTTTTTAAAACGTGTCTGCTAGGAAAAAGTTTCCACACCCTTATAAAGAATGCTTCGTTTCCCTCTCCAACCGATGAGGTATCTCACAATCCACCCCCTTGGGGACCCAGTGTCCTTGCTGGCACATTATCCAGTGTTTAGCTCTAATACCATTTATAACTGCCCAAATGCACAGCTAGCAGATGTTATGTTCTTTGGGCTTTCCCTTCCGGACTTCCTCTCAAGATTTTTAAAACGCGTCTGATAGGGAGAGGTTTCACACCCTTGTAAGGAATGTTTTGTTCCCGTCTCCAACCGATGTGGTATCTCACAATCCACCCCCCTTGAGAGCCCAACGTTCTTGCTTGCACACCACCCGGTGTTTGGCACTGATAATATTTGTAAGTGCCCAAACCCACCACTAGCAAATATTGTCCTCTTTGGCTTTCCCTTCTAGGCTTTCCCTCAAGGTTTTAAAACGCATTTGCTAGGAAGAGGTTTCCATTCCCCTCTCCAATCGATGTGGTATCTCACAATCCACCCCCTTAGGGGCCAGCGTCCTTGTTGGCACACCGTCCAGTGTCTGTCTCTGATACCATTTGTAACCGCCTAAGCCCACCGCTAGCCGATATTATCCTCTTTGGACTTTCCCTTCCGGGCTTTCCCTCAAGGTTTTTAAAACACGTTTGCTAGGGAGAGGTTTCCACACCCTTAGAAACAATGCTTCATTCTCTTCCCCAACCGATATGGGATCTTTCAACTTAAAGTTAAAGAGGGGGAGGGGAGATAAGAGCTCTGTCTAGAATTGTTAAAGTTTGTCAGTAATATACTGAATGACTTCAAACAAGCACTTACCAGCGTAGCATTCTGATGCGAAGGAATTTTGCTGCTTATGGCTGCATAACTGAATAGAACATCAAGATCCAAAAAAATTTCATCAAATCTCTCTAAATTTGCATCAAGGAAACGGAGAAAAGAAAGAACACTTACACAATAAACGCGTCCTCAATCGTGCCGGCCAGTATCCCTACCATCCCAACAGTCCAATTCAGAGGAAGAACACTGAAAACACAGAATGTCAGTGGCCAAATCATATTGAATTTTCAAAGGCATAAATGTAGAGATGTTATTTTTCAGTAGACATAAGTTATCACCCAGAATGAGGAACACGGCCAAATGTTGGCTTCAAACCGACAACTCCACAAAGAGATGCAGGGATTCTCACAGATCCTTTATAAAATTACCAATGAAGAGAGTTCAGTTGTTACATATATAAAATACTGCACAATTTCTTGAAGACACCAACTTCATTAAATATCTTGATGCACATAAATTTCTGTAAGAGCTAGTTGTTTTTAGTTAATAATGTCATCATCAATGGAATAAGATGCAATTTGACATGAAAAATAAATGCCACCATATTTTCTTTTTATTGCAGAATTAGGACCCAATGTTAATTAGATTGTTTGACCTCAATTATACTTTTTGTTTCAAAATGGAGAATGTTCTGGATGATGCATAAGGTTAGATAGTGTAACAGTCTCGGCCCACCACTAACAGGTATTACCCTTTTTGGGCTTTCCCTTCCGAGCTTCCCTTTAAAGTTTTTAAAACACGTCTGCTAGGGAGAGATTTCCACACTCTTATAAGGAATACTTCATTCCCCTTTCCAACCGATGTGAGATCTCACAATCCACCCTCCTTGGGGGCCTAACGTCCTTGCTAGCACACCGCCCGGTATGTAGCTCTGATACCATTCATAACAGCCCAAGCCCACCACTAGCAGATATTATCCTCTTTGGGTTTTCCCTTTCGAGCTTTCCCTCAAGGTTTTTAAAATGCGTCTGCTATAGAGAGGTTTCCACACCCTTATAAGGAATGCTTCGTTCCCCTCTCCAACCGACGTGGGATCTCACAATCCACCTCCTCTGAGGGCCCAGCATCCTTGCTAGCACACCGCCCTGTGTCTGGCTCCGATACCATTTCTAACAATTTAAGCCAACCGCTAGCATATATTATTCTCTTTGGGCTTTCCCTTCCGAGTCTCTCCACAAGATTTTTAAAATGCATATGCTAGGGAGAGGTTTCCACACTCTTACAAGAAATGCTTCGTTCCCCTCTCCAACCGACATGGGATCTCACAATGCACCTCCCCTAAGGGCCTAACGTCTTTGCTAGCACACCGCCCAGTGTCTGGCTCAAATACCATTTGTAACAGCCCAAACCCACCGTTAGCAGATATTATCCTCTTTAGGTTTTCCCTTTCGGACTTTCCCTTAAGGTTTTTAAAATGCATCTGCTAGGGAGAGGTTTTCACACCCTTATAAGGAATGTTTCGTTTCCTTCTCCTACCGATGTGCGATCTCACAATCCACCCCCTTGGGGGTCCAGCATCTTTGCTGGTATACCACCCAGCGTCTGGCTTTGATACCATTTGTAACATCCCAAGCCCACAGCTAGCAGATAATATCCTTTTTGGACTTTCCCTTCTGGGATTCCCCTCAAGGTTTATAAAACGCGTCTGCAAGAGAGAGGTTTCCACACCCTTATAAGGAATGCTTCTCGTTCCCTTCTCCAACCAATGTAGGATCTCACAGATAGTTTCTTCGTATGTACATTCTTTCTATTATCAAATTTTTAACAGAGAGATGATAAAGAGAAGATAAAGGAAGGATCAACATGGAAATATAAAGAAAAAAAAACTGGAGAGATTAGAGAGTGGTATGAGAAAAGCTAGTCCATGAAAGATAATATTATTATTAGGTTAAATTATACCTTATATCCCTATATTTCATGTTTGTTGACTTCATATTCGTCCTTTTAAACTTGTAATTTCATCCCTTTCTTATTTAATCTAATCATAATCACAACCTCTAGCACTGCCTTATTCATAAACAAAATTACCTCCTCCATCAACACCTAAAGCAGCAGGACATAGTCCTGCAGCAACAACAGCAGCAGATCCGCTAGAAGAACCTCCACATATCCTGCTCGTATTATATGGATTTCTCGTCGACCTACACGAGCCATTCATAAAATATACCATCTTAGATCAAACCTTAGAGTTTGATGAGGAACCATGTCATGATGTAATGTCTAGACACTATATTTCATGAACAATGTGCAAGGGGTAGTACTATAGAATTTAACAGTTCATAAAGAAGCAAGAAAACATCAGATCTTCTCACCCATGATAAGGGTTTATTCCACTTGTTCCAATACCAAGTTCATGCATATTGGTTTTCCCAACAATTAGAGCTCCACATAACCTGAGATATTGTATGCAGCTTGCATCACTGGTACAAGGTCTTAGTTTGTGCAACCAACTTGTCCCCCCTGCAAGAACAAGGCGCTATCAAGCAATAAAATAAAATATTGTGATGTCCTACATTGGTTGGGGAGGAGAACAAATCACCCTTTATAAGGATGTGGAAACCTTTCCCTAGTAAACGCGTTTTAAAGCCTTGAGAGGAAGCCCGAAAGGGAAAGTCCAAAGAAGACAATATTTGCTAGCGGAGGATTTGGGGCATGGGCATTACAAATGGTATCAGAGCCAGACACCGGACGATGTACCAGCCTTCTCGCTGTTCTCCGAAAGGGGGTAGACACGAGGCGGTATGCCAGTAAGGACGCTAGGCCCCAAACGGGGGTGGATTTGGTGGTGGTCCCACATCGATTGGAGAAAGGAACGAGTGCTAGCGAAGACGCTGGGCCTCGAAGAGGGGTGGATTGTGATGTCCCACATTGGTTAGGGAGGAGAACAAATCACCTTTTATAAGAGTGTGGAAACCTTCCCCTAGCAGACGCGTTTTAAAGTCTTGAAGGGAAGCCCAAAAGAGAAAGCTCAAAGAGAACAATATCTGCTAGCGGTAGATCTGGGGCTTTACAAATATACTCACACGCATGAGAACGACTCGACACGAAAAACTGAGCAACACCAAGTTACCTGTAGTAGGATATGGTAGACAATCTATTTCATCCTTGACAGCAATTGGCACTCCATCTAGAACTGAAAGGGGTTGTCCTGGAACGAGTCAGAATAACGAGTAAGAACGAGAGGAAAAACTCGAACAATTTTTCATAAGAACAACAAGAAACTAATGACAAGATAATAGTCTAGAACACATGAACTTTTCTCCCAAGGCTAATAGGTACCATGTTCATAACGATTAGTTGATTCAGCTGCTTGCTTTAGAATATCTTCGACATTATAATTAATGAAGAATGACATGTTCAATGGAGGTTTGGATGATTCGCTCACAGCTGCTATGAATCTCTCTGCAACCTATAAAACAAAAGAAAATCCAAAGCTCATATGAAAAGAACATGATGAAAAAGAAAGACATGAGAAGCTAAAAATTGGCTTACTGTTAGAGGAGTTATTTTTCTTGAACGATATGCTCTTGAATAGTCCATTATTGTCCATCTGTGAAATGAAGGGTTTAAAGAATCCACTTCTCTGTCTGACCATGAAGGCAGACAACTAACTGCCTCTTGAACTTGTTCTGTTTCAGATAGAGCCACACCTATGTACTTCACCTCCTCATTTTCTTTTTCTGCAAAGTAATTTTTGATTAAGGAAAGATATGCGTTTCTCAATGTAAGAAGTATGAGCTTTTCACCAAGGAAACTGAGAAAAAACTGAAATGTCAAAAATAGAAGTGGTAGATTTGTAACCGCCCAAACCCAATAGTAGATATTGTCGTCTTTGAGCATTCCCTTTCGAGCTTCTCCTCAAGACTTTTAAAACATGTCTGTTAGGGAGAGGTTTCCACACCCTTATAAGAAATGTTTCCTTCCCCTCTCCAACCGATGTGGAATATCACAATTCACTCCCCTTAGAGGCCCAACGTCCTCATTGGCACTCGTTCCTCCCTCCAGTCGATATGGGATCTCACAATCCACCCCTTTCAGGGCCAGCGTCCTCGCTAGCACATAGCCCGGTGTGTGGATTTGATACCATTTGTAACAGCCCAAGTCCATTGCTAGCAGATATTGTCCACTTTGGCCCGTTACGCCGTCAACCTCACGATTTTTAAAACATATATGTTAGGGAGAGGTTTCCACACCCTTATAAGGAATGTGTTTTGTTCCCCTCTCCAATTAATGTGGGATCTCACAATCCACCCCCCTTGTGGGCCAGCTTCATCGCTGGCACACTGCCTGATGTCTGGCTCTAATACCATTTGTAACAGTCCCAGCCCACTGCTAGCAAATATTGTCCTCTTTGTCCCAGCCCACTGCTAGCAGATATTGTCCTCTTTGGCTCTAATACCATTTGTAACAGTCCCAGCCCACTGCTAGCAAATATTGTCCTCTTTGTCCCAGCCCACTGCTAGCAGATATTGTCCTCTTTGGCCCGTTATGTCTGCTGTTAGCCTCACGGTTTTTAAACACGTCTGTTAGGGAGAGTTTTTCACACCCTTATAAGGAATGCTTCGTTCCCTCTCCAACTGATGTGGTATCTCACAATCCACCCCCCTAAGGGGTCAGCATCTTCGCTGGCACACCACCTTGTGTCTGGCTCTGATACCATTTGTAACAGCCCAAGCCCATTACTAACAGATAATGTCCATTTTGGTCTGTTATGTATCACTGTTAGCCTCACGGTTTTTGAAACACGTTTGTTAGAGAGAGGTTTTCATACCCTTATAAGGAATGCTTCGTTCCTCTCTCCAACCGATGTGGGATCAGAACAAAATGAAAAACTGCGGCCATGTTCAACATCAGGTGATGCTTATGTAATAGCAACGTCCTATAACTTACTACAGCCAAACCCACTTGGAATTCCTTCATTTCTATTTAATAACAGAGCTTATGGCAATTGTTCTAATCATTTAGAAATGGCCACCCTGTCTCTCTTAGGGCAATACTTCCTTTTTCACAGCACAGACCTACCAAAGTTCTTGAACCTGAAAAATGAGAAAGATAGCATACCTTCTACAGGATGCGAGGGAACAAAAACAGGCGATTCTTCTATCTCCGCATTTCCAATGAGCTGCATAACTTTGATGTTAGTAAACAATAGAAAATGGCATGAACTATACAAAATTCATATTAGTTTCCTAAACAATTCACAACTGAAAGCAAGCATAAAGTAGCCTTAACCAAATAGAAAAATGTTCTTGTATTTCTAAACACTTTTATTCATGAGTGTTAGGTTATTTATATCTTGAGTATTGGGTTAGATTAGGCCTACGTGTGACAATTACTTGGCTCAACGAATTGTGAGATCCCACATCGCTCTAAGAGAGGAACGAGTGTCAGTGAGGACGCTGGGCCCCGATGGGGGTGGATTGTGAGATCCCATATCGGTTGGAGAGGGGAATGAAGCATTCTTTATAAGAGTGTAGAATCCTCGCCCTAGCAAACGCGTTATAAAAACCCTCGAGGAAATCCTGATAGGGAAATCCCAAAGAAGATAATATCTACTAGCGGTGGGCTTGGACTGTTACAAATGGTATTAGAGCCAGACACCAAGCAGTATGCCAGTGAAGACACTAAACCCCTAAGGGGGTGGACACCAAGCGGTATGCCAGCAAGGACATTGGACCTCGAAGAGGAATGGAGTGTGAGATCTCACATCTATTTGAGAGAGAAACGAGTGTCAGCGAGGACGCTAAGCCCCAAAGGGGGTGAATTGTAAGATCCCACATTGAGAATACCTCTCTCTAGCAGACACATTATAAAAACCTTGAGAAGAAGCTCAAAAGAGAAAGCCGAAAGAAGAAAATATCGACTTACGGTCGGATTAGATTATTACCATATTAGTCTTTTAAGTAGGTATGTACTATAGCTTGAGCTCTTTCCCTAACCCTTCATTATTTACATGAGCTCTTATTGATCACTAGATCATCCAATGATAGGTTTTTCTTTCACTACTGATCACTGAATCCAAAGCTCAACAAACAGAGCATCAAAATACAGAACATCCAACTGTTCCCTAACTCGACAATCCATTCATCAATACAAATATCAACAACAGCTATCAAATGGATTCAGAAACAAAATTAAAACGCAGCCTACCAATCGGGTTGAAGACATGTTCGTTACCAACAAATTGAGTACATTTTCTTGGAGCTCTTACCTTCATCCATAATGGGTTTCAATAGCAATCCAGAAGTTATTTCCAAAGGGAGAGAGCTTTATAACGGAGAAATTACACTTATTTCCTGTAGAGTTACTTACGGAATATTTTTAATACTCTATCTGTAGAGATGTTTTCGGTAAGAATAAGGGCCACGACCCTAATTGCTAAGGGTATTCGTATCAAATTGGACCGTTTTCCCTTAAAAGATATGAGTTTATTATTATTATTATTATTGTTTTAAAAAATTAGTCCTTTATAAAATATGACATTATTATTTTGTACTCTACTACTAAGCACGTCCAAACATAGGTGAACAGCAAACAAGAACAATCATCTTATTTTTATTTATTTTTATTAAAAAAAAATACAATAATAAATACTTTTTTAGAGAAATTAAAAAAAGAAAAATTGTAAAACAAGACAAAAGTTAAAAAGAGCTGTCAGGTTTTGTACCCAAGTCACCAACCAACGACCAAAATTTCACCAAAAATATTATATTATTTTATTCAAATAAAGCAAAATGTCAATAATAATATAGTAATATAAAGTTAAATTACCATTGTAACCTTATGTGATTTTACTAATATTTTAAAAATGCATCGAACCATTATAATATTTTTAAAATAGAGAATTCGATTCCTACTACAAGTTTTTTTTGCCTAATAATTTTAAGTTGGTAAATCGAGCCATCAGCTTTTTAGATGACAATAAATGTATTGTTAATTAGGTAGGTTCGAGTTGAAAACCAAAAAATTACAAAATTACCCCCAAGGCCAACATCAACGTCAATATTATTTTTAAAATAAAGAATTCAACTCCTACTACAAGTTTTTTTGTCTAACAGTTCTTGGACGATAAATCGAGTCATCAGCTTTTTAGATGACAATAAGTGTATTGTTAATTAGGTATGTTCGAGTTAACAACCAACAAATTACAAAATTACCCCTAAGACCAACATCAACGTCAATATTATTTTTAAAATAGAGAATTCGACTCCTACTACAAGTTTTTTTGTCTAACAGTTCTAAGATGATAAATCAAGTCATCAGCTTTTTAGATGACAATAAGTGTATTGTTAATTAGGTATGTTCGAGTTAACAACCAACAAATTACAAAATTACCCCTAAGGCCAACATCAACGTCAATATTATTTTTAAAATAGAGAATTCGACTCCTACTACAAGGTTTTTTATCTAACAGTTCTAGGATGATAAATCAAGTCATCAGCTTTTTAGATGACAATAAATGTATTGTTAATTAGGTATGTTCGAGTTAAGAACCAACAAATTACAAAATTACCCCTAAGGCCAACATCAACGTCAATATTATTTTTAAAATAGAGAATTCGACTCCTACTACAAGGTTTTTTATCTAACAGTTCTAGGATGATAAATCAAGTCATCAGCTTTTTAGATGACAATAAATGTATTGTTAATTAGGTATGTTCGAGTTAAGAACCAACAAATTACAAAATTACCCCTAAGGCCAACATCAACGTCAATATTATTTTTAAAATAGAGAATTCGACTCCTACTGCAAGGTTTTTTATCTAACAGTTCTAGGATGATAAATCAAGTCATCAACTTTTTAGATGACAATAAATGTATTGTTAATTAGGTATGTTCGAGGTAACAACCAACAAATTACAAAATTACCCCTAAGGCCAACATCAACGCCAATATTATTTTTAAAATAGAGAATTCGACTCCTACTACAAGTTTTTTTGTCTAACAGTTCTAGGATGATAAATCAAGTCATCAGCTTTTTAGATGACAATAAGTGTATTGTTAATTAGGTATGTTCGAGGTAACAACCAACAAATTACAAAATTACCCCTAAGGCCAACATCAACGTCAATATTATTTTTAAAATAGAGAATTCGACTCCTACTACAAGGTTTTTTATCTAACAGTTCTAGGATGATAAATCAAGTCATCAGCTTTTTAGATGACAATAAGTGTATTGTTAATTAGGTATGTTCGAGGTAACAACCAACAAATTACAAAATTACCCCTAAGGCCAACATCAACGTCAATATTATTTTTACAATAGAGAATTCGACTCCTATCACAATTTTTTTTCTGCCTAACAATTACAAGACCACGGTTGAGCCAACCATTATTAAGACAATTATAATATTTTAAAAATAGAGATTTCAACTCCTATTATAAGTTTTTTTGCCTAACAATCATGAGGCAATAGATTGAGTCATTGGTTTTTTAGATGGCAATAAGTGTATTGTTAATTAGGTATGCTCGAGTTAGAACCAGAAAATTACAAAATTACCCTTGAGACCGACATCATCGTCAATATTAAATAATATTTTGATGAAAATATCATTATTTTAGGCATATATATATTAAATATGAGAGAGAGAAGAAAATGTACCTTGTAAATGAGATTATTGGCCTTGAGAACGTACAACAGCAATTTCCCCAAAATCCTCATTTCTAGGACCCACGCAAATATTTTCACCACTATTCCAACCATTCGAGGAGCTAAAAATAAATTTTAAAAAATTAAAAATTAAATAATTTCTAAAATTAATTTGATCTATTTCTTACTAAATTAATTATTTTCTAAACCTATATATTAGTAATTATTTAAAAAATTGTAATATTACAATTAACTTTATATAAATTTCTAAAAATATTATTGGAATATAACAAAAATGTGTTTAAATATTATTTTTTTTGTTGGACGTGTTCATTTTAATCATCGCTATAGGTCATTGTCTTCGGTCCAACAACTTAATAAATTTTTATTTAAAATTATTTAGGAAAGAAAAAATAAAAATAAATAACTATTTTTAAAAATATATAATTTAGGTTATAATTACAATATTTTTCAATTTTAAATCATGAGAGGGACAAGATTGCATATGAATTTAGTAATTTTTCAGACAGAGAATTAAAAGCATTAAATTTACAAAAAAAATTAGAAAAATTCCTGAAGATCTGAAAACACCTCTCCTGGTAATGCCCTTTTCATTGTCCAACTAACCTTGGCTTTAATTTATTTAAGGAATATTTAGGTTGGCCCATTTTTTTCGATGTCATTTTTCTATTATTAATTGAGACGTTTTAAGAGTATAGAGGCTAAAATAACATCTAAAAACCTACGAAATAATCTAGACGAACAATGGGTTGTTCCAATTAGATTAAGAAAACGTAGAAACTGAGAAATACGACTGAGACCCATTAGAATTCCCACTAAATACACAAAATAGTAGAAATCGAGAAATCTGTCTGACCCATTAGAATTCTCACTGAACAAACAAAACGTAGAAACCGAGAAAACAGACCGAGACCCATTAGAATTCCCACCAAACGCACAAAACGTATAAACCGAAAAATCCGACTAAGACCCATTAGAATTCCCAATTCTACAAAACGTAGAAACTGAGAAATCCGACCGAGACCCATAAGAATTCCCACCAAACACACAAAATATAGAAATCGAGAAATCGGACGCCAAGACACATTAGAATTCCCAACAAACACACAAGATGTAGAGACCGAGAAATTCAATCGAGACCCATTAGAATTCCCACCAAGTACACAACAGGTAGAAACAAAAAAATCAGACCAAGACCCATCATAGTTTCCATCAAATACAGCCATAAGTCACAGAAGAGAGAGAAAAAAAGGAGAGGAGAGAGAGAGAGAAAAGAGAAACCTTTGACATTGGCTGTGAGGTAGAATTCAGAGCTGGTGGGACTCAAATCGACATCTTTGGCAGGCTTGTAAGCCACCCCACGAGAATTGACCAAACCCATTAGATATGAGTTATGGATATGGAACAGCGCCCAAGACAAGGCCTTATGGCTTATGAACTGATATCAATTTCTGAAGAACAAGCAATGGAGAGCGACGGAGAGAGCAAGAAGAAAGCATATGAAATCACATTTTTATATATACATTTGGCTGATAAAAACTAAGCAACAAAGAGAGAGAAAGTTGGTTGGAATGGATGGATGCTCATTTTCTCACTAAAAGATCATTGTGGTAAGTTTGGGTTGGTTGGAAATTAATGATCTTGATCAATATTAATAGCTACTTCTTTTTACTTTATGTGTATTACTTTTTCAAAAGCCCTTCGAGAGGGGTAGAAATCTGAACTTAATTGATATTCAATTAAATGATAAGAAATCACTTCAAATAAGATTTAGATTACCGTGTTAATCAAATATTGGAAGGTAAGAATACAAATTCAAAGATCAAGTATCAAGTTTGAATGATTCTAAACATGCAATCTAAATTACATAGAACTACAAAAAAACTTTGTCATTGGCTAAAGAAACGCATAAGTACTTTTTTTATAAAGACGAACATATGTCAAAACTTTTCACATTATTGAAAAAAAAAATTAAATGGTAACTTAAAAATTGAATAAGTATTACAAATTTTGTATTCGATTTGATAGTTTTTTTTTTTTTTTTTTTGGAGAGTCGTTTGCATGATTGAGGTGTTTTCCTTGCCCGACCTCAATCAGCCCAAGTGTCCCTTTTCCGTTACGATCCTGATCTGGTTCAGCTTAATTTAGTTTAATAAGAAAAAATCGTTGATCAATCATATAAATACTATTGTTTAACTTGAAGAATGCGAACTTTTTTTAATACATAATATTCTTTCTATTTCTTAATATCCTCGCTAGACTAAATTTCTTCTAGTTAATTTAAACATCGAAGCCTCTATGACAAATATCATATTGATGTGTAAGTTTCTCTTGTTTTGCAACTCGTGTTCTCTCCTTAAAAAAGTTTTGTATCGTTGTCAAGTGAAGGTCAAGTTCATTATCCGATCCAAATTTTGACACTAACATTTAGTATGATTATCATCAAAATTGTTTGTGTGTGAACAAACGGATTTATTAATTAGTACGTTATGACGTTATAAAAGTCAAAAGAAGATAATACTTCTCTAGGTCTAACTTGGTTAAAGTTGTTGCATCTTGTCAAATTGAGGCCTCCACCCTCTCACTAGGGTAAGAGACTTAGGTAAAACCATCTTTTTACCGAACAATAATTTTATCCTAACTGAAATTACTCGGTAAGCCTTGTCGGGTTCTGGGCATTATTCGGAGTAGGAGGATTTTTTAGCTTTGACGGATGTTAGGCGTGGGATAAGTCAGACGAGATCCTACTGTTCAGGACCAAGAAGCCATTCGAATTTGAATCTGGATATGTCGGTGCCTCTTAACTGTAGGCATCTTGCTAGAAAGTTAAGTTCTTAAGTTGTGACATTCCTTCCTTGGTGTTCTTCGTAAGTGATTAAACTTGTTTAAGGGAGACAAGTGAACTCGTGTTCAGGATTCAACATCGGGATTCAGAACATGATGGTCTCGACATTCTCCTATGATATCAAAGCAATACCTCTCCTAGTAAGACGTGATTTAGGGACGAAGTAAAGTGTAAATTGGTGGACATGTGACATCTGAGTAAAGGTAAAATGAATTTACTCTAATAGCAAACTAGATAATAAATATACAATGTGGGAACTATCAAAGAGACGCTAGGTAAACTCTAATAAACTTGCCCTAAAAACTAGGGGCCTCCATGTATACATTATACATGAGTAGTTTGATAGTCCACTTTTGAGTCTAACTATGTAGTCTACTAGCCCTAGGGAATCAATCGACTCATGCACCGAGTGCCAAATTAGGGTTATAAGTATGCCTAATTATTAGTCCGTATGCTATTTTAGGAATCAGGGAGTCTAATAGACGATTCGTAGATGGTCGAAGCGAGTTTGGAACTACGAGCACGTAGAGTATAGGATAAAGCATAATTATAAAAACATAGAAAAGAAAGAGTTAATCATAGCACCCTAAGATTCCTGAACACGGTATGGAACAAGGAGGCTCAAATGAAGCCGATGGCAAGTCTCTTAAGTTTAGCATATCTCACACCGTCACAAATCCTTGTGGATTACTCAAAATTAGCCATATAATATGTACGCAAGCTTTATATTAAGATCATTTTCTTATTGGATTATAAGCGAGAACTACTTACTGAGTATATTTTTATATACTCACTCGTGCTACACTTCCTTTCTTACAGATATAATTCGAGGTGTTAGCTAATAGCACGATAGTATGAGATCTCACCTCGATTGAGGAGGAGAAGGAAACACCCTTTATAAGGGTGTAAAAACCTCTCCCGAGCAGACGTGTTTTAAAAACCTCGAGAAGAAGTCGGAAGGGGAGGACAATATATGGTACGTCAATTATTTTTACCTTATTAAACGTGCACATGCATAGGGAAAAGTTGGCCGTTTTTTTAGGTCAATTATGACCAAAATTAGGACGCCCATTAAACCTCTCCGGAGGCTGGCCCTCTGGTTATTGAGTAGCTTAAGCTTTTGCCTTAAAAGTAAAGTTTTAGAAATTGCAAAATGGTCCCCCAAAGTTAATTAATCAACCATAAATCCCTACCATATAATAAATATATACCCATCTTCAATTAAAAAAAATGGAAGGTGATATATTCTTAAATATGAGGTTGGAACATGTAATAACTTCAGCCATTATGACACTTGTATGGGTGGGTTTGACATTTTCCACATCAATGGTAAATTCAAAACTTTGGAGGGTATATCTGCAAATATATATAAGTTTAGTCCTTCGATTTTTAAGATTGTGTTAACCTAATAACGTGTTTGTTCTAACCTAATGTCTACGGTTCAATCCTCTTCGGCTTCAATTATTATTCTCAAGTCCTCGCTTTTTCTTAAAATTATTTAATTGACCCTCAATTTTTAAATTCGAGTATAGTTGGAACCTCACTATTTGACAACTTTTAAATTATATAGTCATAATAGACGAAAATTGAAAGTTTATAAATGGTTTAAAAATGGTAAAATTTAACGACCTGGCATACAAAAAAAATAAAAAAATAATATAGAGGTGCACATAGGTGAGGTATTTGGGTTGCACGGGTTGCCCACCCAACCAGCTCTCTATTTTCGGGTTAAGTTAGGTTGAACTATCAGATGATTTGTTTTTGTTTTTTTAATTATTTAAAAAAAATCATATTTATCCATTATACATATTACCTAACTAAAATTTCGTAAAGTTTAAATATTAAATATTTATAAGTTATATTGCATCACTAATATTGATGGTAAACGCTAAATATTCATAATTTTTTTCAAGTAGGGGTTTAGTTTGGGTTAAGGGCGTATATGGGCCGGGTTGGGTTGGGTTGGGTTGGGTTGAGAGAAGTTTTTGGACCAACCCAAAAATTCGGTTTAGTTGGGTTGCATGGTTAAAAAAAAAATTAATTTTTTAAAAACTTTTATTTATCCACCGTTCATAACTCCTCGATACATATTAGATAAAAAAATATTAAAAATTCACAAACAAACACAAATTTATTTAAAAAAAAAAACAAATTGTTCATCAACAACGAGCAAGAATTGTAATATCATAACATAGTTCAAGATTGTCATAGAACAAAAAATAACTAAATAACGACACTTCCAAAATACCATTTTACCCCTTTGGGATTGACTTTGATCATTTAATTTTTTTTTCACGATTTACTTTTTTATTTTTCTTGAGTTAATGAGATTCTGCTAATTTCGAAATTTAAATGAAAATCGAAAAAATTTTGTACTTGTGACACTGCGTGTTACAAATTAAATATTCAATGGTTTAGTCTTATACAAATTGATTGGGGTAAAACGAAACATCCTTTACAAGGGCGGGGAAACTTCTCTCTAGAATACTCATTTTAAAAACTTTGAGGAGAAGTCCGAAAGGAAAAGTCTAAAAAAGACAGTATCGACAGTATCTACTAACCGTGAGTTTGGACCGTTACATAAAAATTTCCCTTTAAACCAAGTTCAATCTCACTACATTAAAGAAAAAACTATGAAATATTGACCAAAAAATCTTAATTTCTAGAAGTACTTGAAGAAGAATGGGAATGAGCAATAATTTGTACGACACAATAATTGTTAGGCACCAAGAACATTGGATATCCATCTACCTATAATAAATTTGTTATCGCATCTATTGGCTACAACTTGCCATGTTCACATTTGTTATTGATTGCCAAGTCCATGCCTCACAATGCCATTGAAATAGGACTCTTTTAATGTTACAACCAACCACGCTTATTATTTGTGATCAACATGTTGAACCTCGTCATTTTTCTATTTTCATTATCATTTAATACAATCTCGATAGCGATCCGTACATATTATATCGTTTTTCATATCATTTATCATATCTTTCATGCATATGCGGGGGCGGTATTTCATGCTAGTTCATCGTTCTGAATCTCAATCATATCATATCATTCAAATTACATATATATATATATCATATCATAACAATTTTCGGCATATACACATCATACCATAACATATCGCATCACAATATATCATATCATAAACATCTCAATTATCACATGTCTCATACCATAACATATTTTATATCATTTCCATATCATATCACAAAATATATATATATATATGTCATTCACATGTCATATTATAATCATATCATATCGTAAACACTTTGTGGCCATATCGTTCCTCCCTAACTTATCTTAGTCTTAACATTCTTATGCTTATCACAATCATATCGTTACATGAACGTACCTTAGTCATATCGTTATAGGAACGTATCCTAACACTATCGTTTTATCAATCTGTCATAATCCTATCCCTTTCTACCCATAACCTAACCATATTCTTATATCAATCGATCGTGACCATATCACTTCGATACGTAACCTAACCTTAACATTTCATGAACATATCTTACTCCTATCATTACATTACATTTAGTGCATCCTTCTTGTATCCTATCTCAAACATATCCATGAACACATCGTACCATAAGTGTTATCATACCATTCACATATACATAACATTTCTTAAGCATATCGATTCATAAACAATGCGCACATATCAATATATATGACACGTGTAGAACCATAGGGCACGTGTCAACATGAAATATAATCATGCCGATGGTAAGGTC